ACGCCGAGTAGGCGAGATTTTATGAGGCCAGGCCGCGTCTTCTCTAGTATACAAGCAGGCCCCCTCAACTCCGATGATGGTACAAATAATGTTGCCCTGTTGCCCGCAGATCCATGTCTACGTGCCCACAACCCTCAGCACGAATTCATACACCCCAAGAGTAATAACAGCCGAAGGTAAGGAACGCAGCATATGAGGAGTCAAGCCTCCATACAAGCCCGCCATACCTTCCTCTTTGGCGATCGTACGGAAACACGGCACCAGACCTGTGTATTTGGGCCCGCCATTTTCCACTGGCGCCTGGCGCAGTCTGGTTCGAACCACCTGCAGAACGTCAGTGTGGGTGCTAAGTAAGTGCTCCCAGATGTGGACCGCGTACCTCGTGCGGATATGTCATTACAGTCGCGACCAACTTGGCAGAACCTGCCGCGCCACTGGTGCTGACCCAGTGAGTCAGTTCATCCCAGAGAGCAGTTCTTGTCCCTTCGGATGGTTCCAGTGATTGACCAAAAGTAGACTTCAGACGTTCATAAAGAACCTAATGCAGTGCTGTCTCAATAGTTCCCAGATAGCTCGCGCTCAATCCTCTGTACAGGCCACTGAAACCTTCATGCCGGAGGACCTGCCTGACGCAATCGATGCTGTTTCGATATCGACGACATGGAGGACTACCACCAGGCGGTTGTGTTTTGTCAAGCTGTAGCCTTGTCTTCACTAACCATATCGGATTCGTAACTGTCGCGGTTGCTATCCCTGCACAAATAGCCGCTTGGCCGTGGACGACCGGCGAGTCTTCAGCATAGCCCAAGATGCTTGCCCCGAGGCGTTTGCAATTCCCATAAACGTAGAATTTGACGGCAGTTGCAGGTACAACACCAGTCAGAACTCGGGCCAAGTCCTCGGAAAAAAGCGCGCCAGCCTTCAGCTCGGTAGATAGAACCGATGATCTGAACCGTCCGGTGTGGTTTGTGAGAGGACGCTCGTGAGGAATTTCGATACAAGTCAGACTGGAGTCGCGTCCTTAGGACATCTAGTGGAGAAGTTGTAATCGCGGTTGCAAATCCCCCAATCCTAACATTGAACGTCAGAGAGTCACCATGAGGATGGTGGAAGACTTACGCGCCAGCAAGCAGATGTACCCAAGGCGCTTGGGTCTCTCTCTTGGTGGCCCGAGGAGAAATGTTAGAAGTAGTTCCTTCAGAATGACCAGCACTAGTCTGCGGGCTCTGCTGCATTATTGCATCATTTCCACGAGTGGTGATTGATTATTGTAGGCTTCAGACGCGAAACCATTTTTGGCCGATTAGATTAACTACAGGCGGTCTTTGATTGGGGTATCAGCCACGTGATTTCTGATCTACTTCACAGAATCCGAGGAATATTGAGGAAGTATTGCTCGTCTTCCTGAGTTTCTCGAGTGGTGGACTAGCGAGCTGTAAAGCTACAGCTTGATGTGGTTATATGTCAAGCTCTGGCTTGAAAATCCATGTGATTGTTCAGACGAAGACCAATCAAAATGGCTATACTATATGTATTCACCGGAAATATCATATACACATCCATTCCATCCATCCATCCATTCATTCTCGCTAGAAGCGCTACAGAGAAATCGTATAAACATGTATGCATATGAGCTTACTAACCAAACAACAAAAGCTATGCCGGGTTGGTCCCGAAATACTGCTTCTCATCCGTGATCAACAATCCCGCAATCGACGCACTGGTGAACGTGCTCAGCGCGCCAGTGATCATCGCACTAACCGCCACGCGCGAGACGTCTGCGCTCCGCCCGGGCGAGATCTGCGCGAGCACACCGATCTGGTTACCCAGGGATCCGATGTTGGCGAAGCCGCACAGCGCGTAGGTGGCGATTAGGCGGGAGCGGTCTGAGAGGTCGGCGTAGGTTTCTTGGGTTTGGAGGGCTTGGTAGGCGACGAATTCATTCTACAGCATCGTTATGTTAGATATCAAGATGGAAAGGAAGATGGACGGATCGGGAGGACATACAGTGATGATCTTCAGACCGATCAGTTGGCCGACCTTCACCAGATCACCGTCCCGAGAAACACCCAACAGGAACGCAATCGGGTAGCAGATGTATCCCACAATCAGCTGGATGGTCAGAGGCGGGTCGTTGATGTTCAGGTAATGACCCCACCACGTCAACAGGCCATTTACCAGACCGATGAGGGAGATGATGCACAGCAGCGTGGCGCCGATCATAGCCGCAATCTTCAGACCCAGCCAGGCGCCAGTGGAGAAGGCGTGCAGGGCATTGGAGGCGCGGTGCTCGTCGTCATCGGGGACGACGACGCGGCCGGCCGTGAGGGTTTCTTCTTCTTCGGGCCAGCGCAGTTTTGAGGCGGCTAGTGAGGCGGGGATACTCATCACACAGGATGAGACGAGGGCTTGTGGGTTCACGCCCATGGTGATGTAGGCGATCAGAACGCTTCCTGCGATGGTCGCGAAGCCTGAACACATGACCTGGTGCAGCTCGGCCATAGTGAGATGCGGGACGAAAGGCCGGATCAGCATGGCGGACTCGCCCTGTCCAATGAAGGGGGATGCAGCAGCAACGACAGCCTCGGCGCCGGAAACGCGCATACTCCAGAAGAAGAAGACGGCGAATTTCTTGATGAACCATTGCAGCACGTTGGTGTAATACAGCAGTTGGACGATCGAGACGAAGAAGAGAATTGCCGGGATCACACTCACTAGGAACCAGGACGCGGGCGTGACGGGGGACGTCAGTTTATAAAAGTCCTCGGCGGTCAAGAATTCAACGCCCTGCGACGCAAAGCCCAGCAGATCGCGTGCGAGACTCGACACGAAGGCAAAAATGTCGTATCCCGCCCCTGTGCGCAGCACAAACAGCGCAACAATAAATTGCACTAGCATGCCCACGATCACTGTGTGCCAGATGATCTTCTTGCGATTGCGTGAGGTGGCCCACAGCCCGAAGATGAAGACGGCCAGTCCGAACAGACTGACCGCGCGGTTGGAGCGCGTGTTATCCGCTGACTCGGGGGAAACGAATGCGCCGATCAGAATGACCCCAATGCATACCAGGGCCGCTCCGGGGACACGCAGTTTCTCTGGGATCACGCGCACGAATGGGTGGGCGGTATGGCTCCAGACGAAGTGCATGGGCCGCGTCACAATGCTGATGGGCACGTAGAAGAAGATAATGCGCAGCGTGATGGCCAGGTACAATAGAAACGGGATCAGCCAGCCGAGGTCATATCGGTGCAGAATCAGACCGGCAATCCACCAGCTACATACGATCAGTCTCTGACCCAATCCATGTTCCTAACGAAGCCATCAGAGTGGTCTCACCCGGTGAAAAGCAGCCAGATCACGGCATGCGCAAAATGGCGCCAGTGCTTGAGCACCCGGCGGTACCACGGGCGCTGGGCCGGGTAATTGTCCGCGGTCTCAATGTCCTTGTTGTCGTCGCTCTGGCTCTTAGGAGTATGATCCAGCGGCGTCGGGTCTGGGACATTGGCTTTCTCGAACGAGGCGTCTTTGGCGTAGATGACGTCGTCGTCGCGATCGCGCTCGGCAAAGGCCGTGTGGTGGAGGTGGGCATGCTGGTGCTGGTGTTCGGGCTGGAGCGCTGGGTCAATCTCGGACTGGGGCGCGACGTGGTCGTCGTCTTTGTTACTGTTGCGGTCGGACATGTTGTGGGTGCAGGCCAGACCAAGTGCTCGTTGAGGAGCCTTATGGGAGGGAAAGAGAAGAAAGAAGAAGAAGAAGAAGGGGTTTCGGGGCTTCAGGCATGTCTAGTGCGCCCGTGTTTAACCCCGTTCAGGACTTGTTCATGTTTTTGCGGAGAGTAACAATCAACCCTAACTCACTGATAAGCCGCAGCCACTCACGGGAGCTCCGACGGTGGGCCGTATGTAACCTTAGCGGGATCAACCCGGGGGGTCGTGTGCCTGTTGGTTAGGATGTTCAATTGATGTATTATGAGTTTTGACGGAAACAATTGCAACAACTGCAAAGAAGTGGTGGGCTAATGACCTTCCGATAGACCTTGATAATTCAACTTCAGTCGGACGCTCTCCCAACGGATGGATAGTCCATTTCGCTTAGTTTCGGGGCGAATTATCGATTCTGGAATCTGTCCGGCGATCTTGGCGACAGTGCATCTTGGCGACAGTACACGACTGCCAGTCACGTTGTTGGAATCCCTACGTGTTCTAGAGCGCGGCTGATTCTGTGCCAGTCAGCAGATCCTATCCGACCGAATTGATATCGATGTATCACTCGACCAGTAGCCGCTTTGTGACACGCGTTGAACGATTCCGAGTAGCCTTGAAAGCCATTTTCTGCGCCCGATGTACCTTCACCTAGCCCTTGATCTTAATAGGCCGAAAGTCAAGGCTATAACGTATAAGGCTATCACCACTCCTCAACCTAACAACACTGAGATCATATCTATATGTGGAACGCAGGGGTTGTGGGATCACCGGTTCTGCGCTGGAGAGCTCCCGAGCCGGAGACGACCCTCCCGTCAAACCCGATGCCGATGGGCCACCCTCTCTAGGAGATCTCCTTTTTTGCCTGCAATCACAATTAAATAGAGGCCGCTGGTGATCAGGAATTTTAGGTGTCGTTCCTGCAGCTTCCAATAGAGCGTGGATCCGGTTGTGAACCACGTTAGACAGGGGACCTGAATGCCCGGCGGGTACTGGGCAGATCCCATCTTTGTTGCATCGACAATATCAATAAAGTATCAACAACTTAATTTGCCAGGTGATTAAAGCCAATATTAATGAATATTGAGCCAGTATCTTGCACATGCGGGGGGACGATCGGGGTTTCTCCAAACGGAAAACAGCCGAAACCCTTTTGCTGTTGAAAAACCCCCAAACCCACCTAAAGATGTGGGGATCTCCTGGGGGTGGGGGAAGGGGAGACGGATTAAAGCAAAAGACCTCTGCATAAAGCTTGCAAGCGCCTGATTTTTCTTCGCTTTCCTAGGCTACCAGGACACCATGGCGATCCAAGGGCAAGCTCTATGTATCTTGATGACCGTCACCTGTGGTCTGTCATATCTACTCTATGGATATGATCAAGGGTTTATGTCAGGAGTTCTGTGAGTCTGCAAATGCCGCTATTGAACTATTGTACACGTTCCAACTGCAATACAGACTGGTCGATGACTACCTAGTCGTTATGGGCAACCCGTCTTCCTTCATGCAGGGTCTGCTCTCGAGTTTGTATACGCTGGGCTGTTTCTTCGGAAGCATCACTAGCATGATATGCAGCGAGCGACTCGGTCGCAAGAACCCGATCTTGATCGGCACCTGCTTCATTTTGGCTGGTGCCACGATCCAGACCGCGGCGTATTCCCGCGCTCAATTCCTTGTTGGTAGGATTGTGGCGGGACTGGGAACGGGTCTCAACACTTCTCTTATCCCTATCTGGCAGGCTGAAACATTACCTGCTCGCAAAAGAGAGAAATTCGGGGCGTTGCAGTACGTGCTGGTTTGTACTGGAGCCTCCATCAGTTACTGGATGAGCTATGCACTATCATTTTCCAGAAATGAGCCTTTTCAGTGGAGGTTTGCCGTTGCGGCGCAGTGTGTTTTTGGCGTTTTGCTTTTAGTTATTGGTAAGTCTAGAAGTATTGTGCCTTGTTGCGCTTGGCATTTCTATTCCATCATAGCCATCTAACAATCGTAGTGCCTTGGATGCCAGAGTCTCCTCGATGGCTTTTTATACATAGCCGAGCAGATCAAGCTCTAGCAGTCATAATGAAGATGCATGGGACACCAAATGAGGATGATGAAGAAGTCCAGACAGAAATTAGATTGATCAATCAGGCAATTGAGCTGGAAGAGCGCAACGGTGCCAGCAAGTGGATTCACCTGTTTAAAAACGAGAAGGAGACCCAAAATCTCCGTCGCGTCTTGCTGGGATGGTGGTAAGTTCCAAGTGTGTTCCCTGTTGTGGGCAAACCTGTCTAACTATGTCTAACAGGCTCATGTTCATGGTAATGTGGTCTGGAGTATGCAGCATTGGCTACTATATTTCGTACTTGCTGCAGAACTCTGTTGGCCTAGACCACAATCTCTCATTGCTGCTTTCTGGTTTCAACGGTCTTTGGTACTTGGTCTCAGCCTTAATACCGTTCGTTCTCATCAAACATATCGGTAAACGTTGGTGTCTCATGATCGGCGCTTTCGGCATGGGCTGCTGCTTTCTGACTATGTCCTTGACCATTCGTTCTGGGACATATTCTGCATCTATCATCTGCGTGATTGCATTCTTTCTCTATTATACTTTCTTTGCGCTCGGTTTCCTCGCCGTGCCATGGCTGTATAATGCCGAGATTTTGCCTTTGCACCTACGCTCGCGAGGCAATGCCATCACCACATCGTCTAACTGGATCTGGAACTTCGTGACAGTCATGGTGACTCCTTCCGTGATGAGCAAACAGGGCTGGAAGGGGTACTTGATTTTCACTGTCTTCAACTTCTGCTTCATTCCTTTTATCTACTTCTTCTACCCCGAAACCACCGGCAGACGGCTCGAAGAGATCGATGCAATCTTTTACAAGACCAGTGCCATTGTTGCTGGCACTGAGTGGGCTAGGAAGGGCAAGTTTGAAACGACTCACCTGGATCAAATGTTACATGACAGTGAGATTGCCAAAGCAGCTATCTATGCCGAAGATCTTTGAAGGCGAGATAACAGTCTAATAAGCATGAGCTGAACCTATGGACAACCTCACAACACTTTCTCCCTTCTTCAGGCTGTAGAATGGAGTCTTTGGCATTTCCCCGAACGACGAATTCGAAAAGTTGTTACCCGGAAATGTGAATGAGCATGGTCCGGAACTTACCGCGGAAAGTGGGAGGACGAAGTCTTATTGGGGCCGTGCTCCAATCAACCTTGTCTTGTCAGCGGTCCTCGTAGGCAGGATATTTGCCACCAGCATAATTCCAGTTACTACGACTATTACTTTTTATCTCTGATTCCCATCGTTCCGCCTTCCTTGCCCATCTCCATTTTGAGTACATCAAGAAGTCTACCGGATGATGAGGGCTGGGTCTGCCTGCCGTAGAACTTTAAATGCAGTGCTAAGTTTTGAGAAGTATATAACGGCCCTGGAGGCCGCGTGAGAAGGGCTGTATGGTAGACAGGTGAAGGAAGTGAGCCGCTCTAATTCCAGAAAATGGTTTGACCTCAGGCCGCTCCGGTTGTCATATTCTATATCAACAGTTGTTGAGGATCCCTCGACAACTTGTTTTCACCATAGAATTCCTCCATCCACACCCGCACAAGCGTCGTCTTGAAAGAGTACGCAGACGCACTAGCACTGCGACTTAAATTTACTGAAATTACTGCCCTGTATTTATTTGTTAAGAATTGTATTCTCATCCGCGTCCTTCCGACCCCAAATTCGAACTCCATTTGTCAGAAACGACGTTACTATGCAAAACTCGACCCCCTAATTACTGACCAAAATTGGTTTAAATAATTTTTTATTTTTGGTGTTTTAATTGACTGTCAGTTTAAGCCTTTGCAGAATCAGAGATTCCTTCCTTTGCGATTTGTACTTCAATTCATTTTGGGACATCGTACGTGCTAGTTTTGACACCAAGTCCTGCAATAAGCCCCACATCCTCCCCGCACAATCGTCTTGTGTACACCCTCCACATCATGCCGTTCCCACTGCAAGGTGATTGGTTGGGCATTCGGATTTTGATGGATACCTTTTTATGTATGGAGATGAACTAGCTGGATGGATACCCGCCAAATCTCCGCGCTCTTGCAAGTCTCCCAGTTGCTTGCTTGTATTGGGACCTCTGGCTGGCTCCAAATTAAACCTCTTGACCCATACCAAAGACTAAAACGCTGTTCGTGGTCATCACACTCGCTACTGTACAAGCTTATACTGTTATACCTGGATAGTGAGCATACGCCTCAGGAGAACCTCTCCATTACTTTCCGCTGCACGCAGGACGATTTTCCCCGAAGTTTACCCAGGCCGAAAGCTAAAAGCGCCACTAGTTACAAAAAGGTCCCATAGGTCCCTCTGCAGCAACGGAAAACATGTTCTCAACATATGTGCACGGATGTGGGGGTAATTTATCTGTCGTTCATCATTTCTCGATTGGGGAAATCCCACAATGCTTGGACAGTATTCAGGGTCAACGGAAGAGAAAATACTGGCTCCGGAGTTTACGGCCACTCAGGTCATCATCCGCGGAGACCGATGGTCGGCGTACCTTCCGGGAGGGAAAAATATATAGAGTAGCTTTAGCCGCCGGCTCCGAGTAGTTGTTGCTCAAGGACTCATAGTGTACTGGCTAAGGCACGGTTGACCGTAGGAGAGCACCATGGTTTCTGCAAAGCAGCTTGGATTGGCTGCGGCCATTCTGTCATTATGTGAACTGAGCAATGCGAAGAGTAACATTACTTCTGATACGCATTTCTACGGCCAATCTGAGCCGGTGTACCCTTCGCGTACGTCTACTTACCTTTACTACAAGCTTGGGTTCACTATGTCTAACAGTCCTCAGCAAATGGCACAGGATCCGGTGATTGGGCCCAAGCTTATCAAAAGGCCGCAGCTATGGTCTCCAAGATGACTTTAGAGGAGAAGGTTTGATACCACTGTGGAAGTCCACCTGCGCTTTTTCATCAAGGCTAATGAGTCCGTTTGAAGAACAATCTTACATACGGCGTTTCTTCCACTGAAAATGGATGTTCCGGAATCATTCCGCCTGTCCCTCGTCTTGGATTTACTGGAATGTGTCTCCAAGATGCAGGAAACGGTGTACGCTACACGGACTTTGTGAACAGCTACCCCAGTGGTATCCATATCGGTGCTAGGTGAGAACTGAAAAAAAAATTAATCTACAGAGCTATTCTCAGCTAACACGTGTCAAAGCTGGAACAAGTCTCTTGCCCACGACCGTGGCTGGTACATGGGTGGTGAATTCAGGAAGAAGGGCGTTCAGGTGGCCCTGGGGCCTGTTGTTGGGCCACTGGGAAGAACCACTACCGGTGGAAGAAACTGGGAAGGTTAGTGCTTCAGAATATGATTGCGTTGCATGGCCTAATTTATCAAAGGTCCTTCCAATGACCCCTACCTGGGTGGCGCTATTGCCGCTGCCACTGTGCAAGGAATTCAGGGCCAAGGTGTGATTACAAGCGTGAAGGTCAGTTTATGCCCAGGGGTAACTGTAACTTCTTGCCAAAACCAAAAGCTGATATTGAATGTCCACAGCATTTCATTGCGAACGAGCAAGAATTGTATCGTAACCCCACTGTCAATTCTGACAACCAAACCGTTGAGTCACTCTCGAGCAACATGGATGATAAGACGATGCATGAGTTGTATCTTTGGCCTTTCCAAGATGCACTTAAGGCGGGAACAGGAAACATCATGTTAGACCTTAGCTAGCATGCACCCTACGAAAGACGTGGCTAACGTATGATCAGGTGCTCGTACAATCGAGTCAATAACTCTTATGCCTGTCAGAACAGCAAGACACTGAATGGTCTGCTGAAAACAGAGCTTGGCTTCAACGGCTTTGTTGTAACTGACTGGGGTGCGCAACACTCTGGGGTCGCATCAGCTCTAGCTGGCCTTGATATGGCTATGCCGAACGGCGAATCCTTCTGGGGCAACAGTCTCACTGAAGCCATCACCAACGGCAGTGTACCTGTGTCTCGTCTGGATGATATGGCAACCCGGTAAGTGATCTTGTACCATCATACCTTTTTACAAAAGGTGTTAGTGCTCATATGTAATCTAGGATTATCGCGGCTTGGTATAAAATGGGTCAAGACGACTCGAGCTACCCTAAACCTGGTATTGGCATGCCTTACAACGTCAGCGAACCTCATAACATTGTGAATGCCCTCCACCGCGACGCGAAGCCAACGCTTTATGATGGCGCAGTGGAAGGTCACGTCCTAGTCAAGAACATGAACAATGCTTTGCCACTACAGTCGCCGAAACTGATCTCTGTATTCGGATACGACGCGAAGGCCCCTGATCAGTACATGCCTGATGGACAGACTTTGATCGGCAACCCCTGGGAGCTTGGCTATGAACCGGCTGTCTTCCAACTTGATGATGCATTTTCTTCTAGTATCATCAATGAGCCTTACTATTTCCAGGTTGCGTTTAATGGCACGCTTAGCGTCGGAGGTGGTTCTGGTGCGAACACAGGACCATACTTGAGTGCTCCCCTGGACGCTCTTCAGCAACGTGCCTACGAAGAAAATACAGTTGTGATGTGGGACACTGCAAATACACCTGGTTTGATGGGCTTAATGGAAGCATCAGATGCCTGCCTAGTCTTTATCAACGCTTTTGCTACTGAGGGCTTGGATCGTGCCGGAACGCATGACGACTACTCCGATGCCCTAGTGAATAAAGTAGCAAAGACCTGCGCCAACACAATTGTCGTTATCCACAACGCCGGTACTCGTCTAGTCGACCAGTTCGTAGACAACGAGAATGTGACGGCAATTGTCTTTGCTCACCTTCCCGGGCAGGACTCTGGCCGTGCTCTAGTGTCTCTGCTTTACGGCGACGAGAACTTCAGCGGCAAGCTACCCTACACTGTCGCTAAGAACGAATCCGATTACAAGAGCTACTACCACACTGGTGCGATCACCCCCTATGGGCTTTTCCCTCAGTCAGATTTTGATGAGGCTGTCCTGACGGACTACCGCTACTTCGATGCCCATGATATCATACCTCGCTACGAATTTGGCTTCGGTCTCTCCTATACTACCTTCTCTTTTTCCGGTCTCAAGGTTTCATCAGTGAAGGACGGCATCGGGGCATATCCTTGCGGTGCTATCGAGCAAGGTGGCGCTATTGATCTGTGGGACACTGTTGCAACAGTCACCACCACTGTTCACAACACAGGACGCAAAGCCGGCGCTGAAGTAGCACAGATCTATGTTGGAATTCCCGGTGGCCCAATGAAGCAGCTCCGTGGGTTTGAGAAGGTCATGATCCCAGCGGGCAGGTCAACCAAGGTTTCTTTCCCGTTGACTCGCCGCGACCTTAGCACCTGGGATGTTGTTGCGCAGAAGTGGTTGCTCCAGAGCGGGAGCTATAACATTTACGTTGGATCTTCCAGTCGAGATCTTCCCCTGACAACGACCATGAAGGTTGTCACTGGCTCTAGCTCGTGAACGCGAAGGATTCGGTTTTAGGATTCGGCGAATCTACCATTATCCATCTGCAGACCCTGGCTTCTCCAATCGTTAAGCGCACAAGATGTAAATCTCCCCCACTATTCCCATTATAAAATAGGGGTAATCTACTCCGTAGATAGCTGCAATCTCAGACACTTCTTGACCCCAATATAGGGTCATTGGCCCCTTTCGGTAATAGTGTATACTAGAATTCTCTCTTCCAACACATAAGTAATGACCTTGAGGGTGTTTGGGGAAGGGGGGAGGGGTTCCTTCTGCTGTAATCCATGTACCCAAATTACTTACTAATAGAGCTTCAAATCGCATAGAATATACAAGTCAAAGGCTGCTATGTTTGCACTGTTTAAGTGCCTCAAGAACGGCGTCGGGCATGGCTTATGATGGGCCGTCCATGGGTCTGTCGAGGTCTAGCTCGCTTACATGGCCGGCTCTCTCGTGGAATACGTTATTAGACTGTTTTGTCTTCGAAGGTAGCATCTGTTGGTATTCTTCTACTTATTCTAGAACAAAGGGGGGCTAACCTACTAGAGAGTAAGCACTAAGCCTTAACCCCCTGTACGAAGGAATTTGATGTCTACTGGATGATGATCATCCTAAGTTGCATATCAGAACCCTTAGACCCTATGCCCATGTTTTTCAAGAGCTACGGAGGTTGGTTAAAAGGGAAGAACCGTTACGCCGGAAAGCTAGTTCATAGGCCAGACTGAGCTTATATTATCTAGATCTATAGATATATGGCAAGCCCCGAATCTAGCATCTCTAGAAACAAAGTCGATAAATTCTATTATGTAAACAACAAATCATAGTAAAGATATTTATCTAGCCTTCGCGTGATAACCGAAGAACTTGTGTTTTGAAGCTATTTGGCTATTTTCCTCAACCCTTGTGTGAACCAGGATTATCTTTTCCCTCCTCTTTTGAGGATTAATTTCGAGAAAACAACACTAAGACACTGCGTGAAGCCACAGGCTAGTGTTCAAAGTATTAGGAGATTCCAGAACAGCAGAGGTACATAAAATTGCGGTTGCCGCCAGGATTGTTTGTTTTGGACGAGCAGTCGTTCTGTTGCAGAACTGCTACATTTTCTTTAACAGCTAATCAATCTCTATTGCCTGCAGTTGCATAAATTATTGAGGTGTTCCAAAATTCTAAAGGACAACAGATCAAAGTTCGGCACATACAGGAGTTGCAGGGTCAGATCTCCTTGAATCTTGGCTTTCAATTGAATCTCGATATCAAGATTCAGATCCAACCTCAGCCTGAGCTGATCGTTGCTTTCTGGATTTTTTTTCGTTTCAGTTGTCTCTGTCACTTGATTCATAGCTGTATCATCTGCATCTGGAACGTTATGTCCTACTTGTCCAACCTCTCTGTTTTTAGGCGAAGAGCTCAGGACCTGTTGGACGCGGGTATCATCTCTTCGTGTTGGCGCCCTATCAGGATATCTTTGTTGACGCTCAAATGCATTAAACTGCTCGGGCTCGGGCTCGCTGGATTGCGTCGACTCCTGACGAACCACTCGATGCCGTTGTCTGGCGGGCTCCGGGTTTACCTCCGCTTCCTCGGCGGATTGGTCGTAGTCCACACTGTCCTGAAATTGCTCTTGGGAGACGCTGTCCGATATTTCCTGGGGAGAATCGGCTCCTGATCTCTCTGAAACTCCATTTTGTCTCTGTTCGCTTCCTTTACTTCGTTGTTCATCTTCAGAGATCGGCCCCTTTCCGAGCTTCGGTGGTCTGAGTTTCGGCGGTCGTCGTTTTTGTGACGTGCTACCACCCGCACGACGATTGTTAATATTCTCTTGCGTATCCTCTGCGGACGCTGGCATGGAGGGTGATGGATTAGACATGATAAATCATAGGTAGAGGAGGTAGTGGGAGATCTTCGCGCATGGGGACATGACACTTTTCTAACGTGAAACCAAAAGACAGCACCATTTACGTTTGTGGAACAATTTCGCCTCCTGACGTCAAGTAGAGGACATATTGGAATTAGACCTTCATCTACAACAATGATATCATTCGATCAAATAGATCGAGAAATCTCGATGACTGGGCCCGGTCGCCCACAAACAAGCGATACGTGGCGAGACCAGAAACAAGAAACCATTCAACCCAGCCAGTTGGGAAACTGGAAAAGTCGTGAAAGGAGTGGTGAGGCTGAAGCTTGAGCTAGATCCTGATATTGAAGTCGATCTAAAAGCTAGGGTACGGGGGTGGCACATTAGCCACAATTCAGCCTCATACATGGGCGCAATCCCTAGACACATCTTCTGTGAATGGACAAGATCCAGCCATCCACTGATTAAAATATAGGTGGCTTGTCAGGTAACTAACTAAAGAAAATGGTGCCGTCACTGTTGTGGCGAATGGGTGTGGCGTAGAGGCCTTCCAGCCGCTCTCCGGCTTCATTGGCCCGTGGTTTTGTTCACTTATTTGACGGTGGGGGTGACGACATCTACCCTCTCAACTTTGGGAACCTAGGGTAGACACCCCCTTAAACAAGTTTTTCTATCGCTTCAGAGGAAGAGTGATTGGGCCGATCGTCGTAATGATGCCGTCTTGTGCTTCGGTCATAATTTTCATCTTTGTTGAGGGATGAATACGTGGGTGGCTTGTCTATAGAATCGATCCATATAAAAATCCCCGGGATCCTAAACCATTTATGTAGACGAGGTTATCAAGTATTGAACGCTTTCAAAATTTCCCTATCAAACACCATTTGCGATATACCAGTACCATACTTGCGGGAAAAGACAACCCCAAAAAACAAAACCAAAAACAAAGCAACACTATAGCGGCCCAAATGGCATCTACCGAAGGGCCGACGGCGACTAAAAATGCCTTGCAAAAGGGTCAACCTTCTCAAAATGCCCTCCCTAACCGGAAAAAGCCTAACTTGAAGTCTCCCAAACCTGCAAACCCTGCGCGGAAGTCGCCTGCCGATGCGAAAGCCGACAGCAATGCGACCAAATCACCAGGTCTCTCAAGTACGAAGAAATCATCTCCAGCTCCCAAATCGAAGGGCCCGAACAAGTTGCAACGTGCCAAAGACGTACCAAAGTCAACAGACAAGCCTCCAGTTCCAAAAGAAACCGGAACGGACGACCTAAAACATGCAGAACCGGAACCTCTAAAAGAGTCGGCCGACATGGAGAATGGCACGATCGATTTGCAAGACAACGAGCAACAAGAAAGTGAGGAGCAACAGGAAAGTGAGGATCAACAGGAAAGTGAGGAGCAAGACGAAGAACAGAGAGAAGACGCAGCGACAGGCCGTCCGAAGGCTTCTGGGTCGCAAGCAAGCTCGACTTTCCAACGCGGCAAAGATGCCGCCTCGTCCCTTTCAGGTTTCGCCAATAAGGCCAAGAATGTTCATTCTCAGCTGCCGGCCCCCGTTAAGCAAGAAGCTGCAAGTCGCATGCAGAAGGGTATGCAGAATGTCACGGACAAGGCCCGGCCAGCTGCAGGTGAAGCAGCCAGCAAAGCTCAGGAGATCCCAAAGGGTGCACCCGATCTGCCAACTGACCTATCTGCTCTGTCTGGCCTTGAAGTCGGTGAAGATGGAATGGTTCTCGATGATAATGGCAATCAAGTCGCTCGACTGGCTGAGGGTGAACCAGAAGACCTTGCTGGCCAGACTATTGGCGAGGATGGTGAAATCCTAGATGAGGACGGAGATCTGATTGGGCGCGTGGAGCTTCTCAGCGAGGATGCTGCAAAGAAGCCAGAAGAATTTCTGGATGCGAAAGAAGGCCTGAACTTGGAAGATCTGGCAAATCTGCCTATCACGGAAGACGGCTCAGTCAAGAATAAATCCGGTCAGGTATTGGGCAGACTCGTCGAAGGTGATCCAGAGGACCTGGTCGGTTCAACCGTGAATGAAAAGGGCGAAGTTCTCGATGATCAGGGTGAATTGGTCGGCCGCGTTGAACCTGTTTCTTCCAGTGAACTTGGCGATACAGCAGGCGGCATGCTGCCGGAATCCTCTATTCTCAAAGACAGAACGATCAACGACGAGGGCAAGATACTCGATGAAGAAGGTGGCCTCCTGGGCCAAGTTTCGGAAGGCCAAGACCCGACAAATCTGACCGGTAAAGTGCCTAACGAGCAGGGTCAGGTCCTAGATGACGCCGGGGAAATTATAGGACAGGTTGAAGTGGTACCAGGGGATGCCGCTGACACAGCAATGCAAAAGCTCCAGGAAGACACACAAAAGGCCAAGGAGGGCGGACAAGGGGTACTCGACGATATCTCTGTCCTTGACGGTCTTCAGGTCGACGGAGAAGGTCAAATTGCTGATTCAGATGGCAACGTTCTCGGTGTGCTAGACCAGGGTGATTTATCGGAAGTCAACGGGATGACCGTGAACGACAAAGGTCTGATCATAGACGATGATGGCAACATTCTAGGCAAAGCGCGATTGGTAGCTCAAGAATCAGCCGAGAAAGCTGCGCAGGAACTACCGCCCATCTCCAATCTAGAAGGCCTCAAGTGCAACAAAGCTGGCAAAATTGTCGATGAAAACGGGGAGGTTGTTGGTGAACTTACCGAGGGTGATCCTCGAAAGCTCTTCCAAGCCGGTGCACAGCTTGACGACCGTGGTAACTTTTGGGACAACAGAGGTAACGTCATCGGCAAGGCTCAGACCATTCCCGTGGAAAAGGAAGAGGAAGACAGAGGACCATTTGCCGATATGGAGGATATTCATGTCGCAGAGGAAGGCTGGGTTTGTGACGAAAATGGGAAGAGGGTGGGAAAAGTTGTCGAAGGCGAAATTCGGAACCTTCTTGGACGGGCTGTGGACGATGACGGAGATATCCTGGACAAACGAGGCAATTTGTTGGGACGCGCAGAGCCCTGGGAAGAGCCGGAGCCGGAGGAAGAGGAAGTCGATCTTTCGGTATTGGAGGGACTCACTCCTAACAAGCTGGGTAACGTTATAGGACCAGATGGAGTGCCGGTTGCGCGTGTCAGCGAGGGTGACCTGAAGGCAGTCACCGGCAGGAAAGTCGACGCTGAAGGCCAGATCTGGAGTGACGATGGCAAAGTCATCGGGCGGGTCACACTCATTCCTGAGGACGAACGCGAGGGCTTATCGCCATTCAGCGGGTTCGGAGAACTGGTGGTTAAGAAAAATGGGTTTGTTGAGGATGAAGATGGCAGCATTGTCGGCAAGATCGTCGAAGGCGACCCTCAGAAATTACAGGGTCTCGCTGTGGATGACGACGGGGATATTGTCGACAAGCGAGGCAATGTCAAAGGACGGGCCGAGCCATATAACGCACCGGAAGAGGACCTGTCCGTTCTGGAGGGGATGAAGGTCAATAAGTTGGGAAACATCGTGGATGAAAATGGCTCGGTTTGGGGACGCGTTACTTCGGGGCACGTCAAGAAGCTAGTCGGCAAACAAGTGGACGCGGAAGGTCAAATCTGGAGCGATGACGGGAAGGTGATAGGCAACGCTGAGCTTATCCCTGAATCTGAGCGAGAACAGCCTGAAGGCATTTTCTATGGTCTTGATGGCCTGATGACAGCCAAGGATGGAACGATCACGGACCCTTCCGGCCAGGTTGTCGGGAGACTGGTTGAAGGCGATCCAGCTCGACTTGTGGGTCGTGCTGTCGACGAAGACGGGGAAATCGTCGATAAACTTGGGAATGTCATCGGCCGGGCAGAGCGATGGACTCCCGAGGAGAAACAGCGTGAGATCAACCCGATGAACGGTCGAAAGGTCAATCGGGAGGGCGAAATACGCGACGAGGATGGCAATCTGATCGGTAAAGTCACCGAGGGCAACCTTAAATCTCTGGTGGGCAAGACCGTCGATGACAATGGCTACATCCTGGACAACGATGGGAACAAAATCGGCGAATGCACCCTCCTGGAAAACTTGCCTGAAGAAGAACCCGAATTGTCTCCCGAGGAAATGGAACAGAAGAAGAGAGAGGAACACGACCGAGATTTGGCGAAGAAGATGTCGGCAATTGTGCAGCAGACATTGGATTCGGTTGAACCACTATGCAAACAAATCACCGAGGTAAACTTCTCTTCGAACACCGATGGGTGCCCGTTACTGACGACTTTACTAGCATCTTGACAAAGCCGATCGCACACCCCGTGAAGAACTCGACGAAGAAAAGCTGGTGAAGACGGTGAAGCCTATAATTGAAGAGGCGGGGAACATGTTGCAGGAATGCAAAAGTGCTCTTCGAGCTCTTGACCCCGATGGCCAAATTGCAGCCTCAGCCAAAGCCCGGAGTACATCACATGAGGCCACTCCAGAGGAATACCAGCTGGCCGATCTACTAAAGCAGCTTTCTCAGACTGTCACGACTACGATTGACAATGGTCGTAAGCGTATCGCGGACATGCCTCATGCAAAGAAGAAACTCAATCCCTTATGGGCCCTGCTCTCGGAACCACTCTTCCAGATCATTGCAGCAGTGGGTCTGCTTTTGAGTGGCGTGGTGGGCCTTCTTGGACGCCTTCTTGATGGACTCGGCCTTGGAGGACTTGTCCGTGGACTTCTCGGTGGTCTAGGAATTGACAACCTCCTCAGCGGTCTCGGCCTGGGCGATGTCGGCAAGAGTTTAGGTATGTCCGGTTGAAAGATTGCAAGCAGCTATCGGAATTGGGGGGAGTATACGAGTTGCCAGTCTGCAATCTATATTTATGCTATCGTTCTGGTCGCAGTGGCTTAGGTTCTATGTACATTATTCTTGACTTTCTCTCTCCTCTTCATGCTATTAACAGCCTTCCACGGTATTCTTGTGCATTATGGGATTCGCTAGGGAAATTGAAACGCAAATTTAAATTGACGATGGCTCCCTGGTGTAATGCGTGGTCTGATCGATCGAGGTAGCGTAAGACCGTCAATGCTGACGGAATCGTGAATATTTCCCGCATGCTGCTGTACGGCAGGCGGTAGTGGCCTTCGATCAAAACGATTTGTTGCCGGAAATTATAGAATCGTAGTGAAAAACAGGAGTACATGATCGCTCATAGTAATTAGAGTCTTTCGTGAGTCCTACCACATGCATTTAGTAATACCCTAGAGGGACCCAGCTCTGCTGCGAGGAAGCAAAAGTAAGTCTCAGCGAATCTAATATCTCCCGTCCACCTACGCAGTTATTGGTATGCGTTACTCCGCAGGCTCCATAGTATTCATCGGCTAGTACACGAACGGACAAACTGCGTTCCCTTACATTACAGTACAGTAGACATCGGAGATGTATGTCGTGCATGCTACTACGGGTGTTCCCGAGAGTGGATGTACTGGTTCCGTGGAACCCCATTCCTAAATGCATGCTAATACGGCCTCTATTTCCCCTCTAACCCTCCATCCATGACTCCATTTGCTCAGCGACAGCGAATTGGACACTGCACGTGACTCAGAAGCCATGCCATAGTGCAACCTGCCAGGTAGTGACTATATCAGCAGTGGAACTTGGCATTGGGATGCCTCAGTGCGTGACTTCAGGTTGAAAAATTTCTGGCAAACAGAGCCGAGGCCCTCTAGGGTATTACTAAATGCATGTGGTATGACCCAACAGAGTTTCACGATTTTGTAATCTCGGAAGTTTCCCGCCTTAGGCATCTAGTGGGCAGCCTAACGGCACTCAATTTCTCCTTTTGGACCCCGACTCTTTACAGCCATTCTTGCTCCACTAATATAATTTTAAATAAAGCCAGGAGAGCTATCCTATTTTCTTGTAGAAACAAAGTGACTCCCTCCCAGCTCGGACGATGTGGCGCGCTACGTTATTTTTCAGGAATCTTTATCTTCGAATCGCTGTGACCTTCCTGCGGGCCGTTTTCAAATTAACACGTCCTGCACATGTTCCAAAGCATCTACATGCCACTCTGCAAATTCCAAGTCGAGATGCCAGCAGAACCATCACGGCCCATCTATACAAGAGAGATACCACATCTCCATCTGTTCCACAGCCAGCTTTGATCAATTTCCATGGAAGCGGGATGATTTTTCCTGCTTTTGGCTCGGACGATGAGTTTTGTCATCACGTTTGTCAAAACACAGACTACGCAGTGATCGATGTCCAGTATCGGCTGTCTCCCGAAAATCCATTCCCAGCTGCCGTGAACGATGTTGAAGACGTTATCCGATGGGTCTTAAGACAGCCAGATAAATATGATCTGACTCGACTAAGTACCTCGGGCTTTAGTGCTGGAGGGAATCTTGCTCTCGTTGCTGCTAGTGTTCTCCTGCCTCAAGATACTTTTCGCTCAGTTCTTGCTTTCTATCCCGGAGTGGACTTAGCAAAGGACCCAGCGGAAAAGATCGCACCCGATACTTCCGGAAAGGCGATTCCTCCCCGGATAGCACGTTTCTTTAACAGTTGTTATATCCCTGTGGATATCGATGCACGGGATCCTCGCATTTCGCCACTTTATGCAGACCCAGCACTATTCGCTTCTAGACTTTTGATGATAACTGCTAGTCGCGACAACTTGGCGCCAGAGGCTGAAGAGCTTGTTTCTAGGGTTAAAGAGCAAGCCGACCATCATGTCGTCCATCAGAGAATGGAGCATTGTGATCACGGCTGGGATAAATCTGTGAAAGCAGGACCTATACAAGAAGAGGCCAAAAGAAGGGCTTACTCGATGGCGATTGACATGCTGAGAGATTGAATGCCCCGTGTGAGAATTTCTCTTTGGGTAATTAGAGTTAGGGGAGGCACATGGAATGTATGTCAATACTACAATCTAAGTACTGCCAAATCCGTAAATCCGTACATATTCAATAAGCATATGAGACACTGTTTGTCGTGATTGATACTTTGGACCAGTGTGCCGAGTCTGAGGAACACGCTCTTCGGCTTCTATCCAAAGTTCTCTCTATTGGCCCACACGTCAAGAACTTGTCTAGCTCGCCCATCTCGACTACGTTCGAGGCGTACTTTGTCTCGACTGAGAAATCGGAGATCTATCATCGGAGCGAGGACATTTGAATGTCCCTTGACTCGCACATAAGCCAGCTGACCTAGATAATTAGTTTTAAGGATAGATCTTATCTTCGATGAACGATTGCATCACAAATTATATCGTATAGTACGCGAAACAACGACATGTTCACTCATCAGTACCTCTCCATACCTATCAGACTCCAATGTTCATTCGTCATATTTCCATTCCGGGCCCTGCCCGTGTCAACTTCACCTGGACTCCCTCAGAGTCTAGCTTTGGCATCGCCACTTGGTAATCATGTTGGAATGCCACATCACTTGCATCCGTCCTCCAGAGTGTCATGTTGAACCCTTGAACCAGTGCCGCGATCACAAGGTAGAGCTCTGCACGAGCTAGCTCAATCCCTAAACATTTCCGCCCGCCTTTGGAGAATGCCATTTGGAATTTGCGGCGTTGTCGTCCTTCTTCTCCAAGCCAGCGCTCCGGATCGAAGGTAAATGGGTCAGGAAAGACCGACTCGGCAGTGTGCGCACTCAAAGTGGAGATGCTTATCGGGGTTCCCGGTGGTATAGTATATGCTTGAAAACCTGTCCTTGGAGATTTGACGTGTGAAGATGGAGTGTAAGTTAATGGTTCCGGGGCAATGCGCGCAGTCCGGGCTGTCACGCCAAAAGAGAGACGGTTGCCCTCCTCAATCACGGCAGACAGGTATGGCAGCTTTTCCAGTTCGGTCCAGCTACCGGCACTTGGAGCGGTGCTGAGCTCAGCGCGCAATTTATCATAAATTATAGGATTTGCCACTATGTGGTAAAATATGATCGAGAGCGTTTGAGCAGGCGATTCAGCTCCCGCTAGGACAAGTAGCGCACCCTCTTGTTCTAGTCGAAGCAGAGTTTTTTCGGAGTCTGGCAAGGAAGGTTCATCTAAAACAGAATCATACACAGACTCTTTGCCGGTTGGTCCGAGGAGTTTATCACCGCTATCTCTGGACTGTTTTGAGTTCATGATCTCGACCAGTTCTGCCCGCACTCTCTGGTTTATATGTTAGCGTCGAAAGTAGGTCCAGGGGAAATGCCGACTTACATCAAACAGATGCAACAAGTCAATCAAACCGGGAGGCATCATTGGTCTGCTGATTGAATGTGGAAGAGACTCCAAGAAGTCCGGAATCCAGGGCAGGTGCTTATTCAAGTGGATTCCCTGTAACAGGCTCTTGCTATTGCGACGAAGCTCGGCTGCTTTGATTTCATCCCCCAGAATATCCGTCTGGTGGGCGAATAAAAAGTTGGTAACCACACTAGTTTTCATTAGCATGGCGTCATTTCCGTATTTCTTTTTCTTTTTCTTTCTCGTTCTTCCTTTTTGAGGATATTCTAGGGGAAACATACTCATTGGAGAAGGCAAAGAACACATCTGATAAATTGACTGGGGTTTCCGACGATGCATGTCTCGCAATCAATTGACACAACTGGTCGACCTTTTTTAATATGTGGCGTTCAAAGAAAAGCACATTCCGTTTACCAAAAAAGGGCGCTAACGCATCGCGTCGAAGTTTATGCAATTTGTAATCTGCCGTCGTTCCGACCCCTCCGGGGACTCGAAGTGCTCTAAGCTGGCGCTCATATTTGTTTCTTGGGACCATTGACGGGGCATAGACAGTGTCTAAGTACCCAACATCGTTTATATGGATTTCATCAGGAGTGATGCGGATTATGGGACCTAACGATCATAAGCTACTCTGCTGCCACCGGCTCAGAGGGCATACCGTATTTTTTGTGCAACTCTTGGATCTTCAAAATGTACTGTCCTGGTTTGATAACATCAAAATAGAACTCGTACCACCAAGTTGATGCCGCGAGGCGTGGTCCTGGAATAGCAGCCAATGGATGGAAATAAAGACGCCGAATTACTTCGGCCACTGTCCATAGCAACAAAAGGACCACACTGGTCTCTATTATCTCAATTAAGGCCATCGAGCTTGGTGCTTTGGGACCAATAATGTAAAGTTGAGGGTCACAAAAGAAAGGGGAAAGGGCCGAAGGAGGGGGGTTTAACATAAGAGATGGATAGTGTTTAAGGCCCGATTGGGGGCCAAGTGAGAGGGAGCGTATCAGCGAGACGCGCAACTCAAAATGTTCAGCTGGTATTGGTCTTGTCAGATATTTTACATTTCCATCCAGTCTGACAGGGATGATATGCAGGCTATCTGCACCTATTCTAGATAGGCTTAGCGTGGCCCTGGCGTTAGGGTCTGAGGTCGTGTGTGTGTAAAAAACATGGTAGCCAATTTCGAATCCTAGTAGAACTATCCTTCCCTCAATTATCCAATCAATCACATCAGCCTGAACGACTGTACGTTCAGCAACAGATCTCTGTGTAGTATTCAGAACAAGAATTACTAAGTGGCTTTTTATGCAATTTGCGCAATGATGTAGGTATGAAAGCTTAAATTTAGCTGAGAAATAGTAGGGTGATAGATCAGCTGGTGAACCCATTCACTATTACAGATTCATTCAGACTCTTCGTAATCCATGGAAGAATTATCAATGCCGTAGATGCAGCCACGGTGACAGCAAAAAATATGAACATCTGAATTCTGATTAGCGATCCGCGAGGACAATATTTCAAGCGAGCTTACGTAGAGCCCAGACGCTGTGTCATCTAAGACATCGGGGATGTAAGGTCCCTTCCAATAAAGGGCCTGAAGAAGCCCTAGTCCAATTAAGTAAACCAGAAGTGATAGATTGAGAAAGACCCGCGGAAGATCAACCCAAAACAGTATCAACCGTAAGCCTTTGTCATTGACCATTTTTCGCGAGTCTAGCTTATCTTTTGTCTCTTTGGATAAGCCAGCGAAGAACAGTCTAATGCCGTCAGCAGATATAATTGAAGACAGGGCAAAGGCCACATTGAATGCAGTGAAAACAGTAAACACTGAAAGGATTAGGCTCGTAACGAAGACAGCGGGAACTATCCAATGGATGTCCTGCATGATGGGGGCGAAGAGACTGGTAGCAGAGACAATGGCCAAAAGAGATCCCTAAAATATAGAGCGTAATTAGCCAATGCAAAATACTCTTGGTAAGGCCACCTACTGTCACGCCTACTACCTGCGTAATAGATATTTTTGAGATTTGGAATTCCTTGCAAGCATCGTTTCCATTGTTGAGTATTGATGTGCGAAATCTGACGGCGAGTTTGCCACTAACGCCGAAACACCAAACAAGGAAATTCAATGTAGTTTCCTAACAAATGTCAGAAAGTGGAAAAGATAAAAAAGGATGAATTGGTTCTCACACTCATGTTTATTGCACTTCGCCTCTTATTTTCTGTGTTTGTAGGTGTAGTAAACAATGCGATTTGGGCGGGCTTGGAGCCACGTGATCGTTGAAGATCCGCTTTGAGCCGAATTGGCAGCGATGTTTTAAGAGCCGCAAATAATTATAATTCTGCTTTACCTAAAAAGCCCCGACAATCCGGTGCAACTGTTATATAGTACTGTCAATTATTGGGCCCGAGAAGCTGACATAAACTCTAATTTCAAGCTTGTTCCGTGCCAATTTTGTGAAGTCATTCTGATGCGTAGACTCAAACACGTCATGAGGGATCATCCTGGACCGCAATCAGACGTCGTTGTAAACTGGGATATACTTCGATTCCCAATAAATAATATTGCTGTCATCCTTTGGCGTAGGAAAATAGTGTTTGTGAATTTGTTTAAGAATACAGCTAGGGATCATGGAATCTAACCTGGATTCTACAAGGAACAACCTCACGGATGAAAGGTAAAGTAATGTAGACAACATCTTTACTTAAACTAATGTTGGCAGTCGGGGTATTGCACAAAATCATAAACAATCGAAGCCATCACCTTCGGACAGAGATCGGAAACCGAAAATCAAAAAGTCAGAGGATAATGCTGATTATGGATCTGCCGAGAAGCAGCCACCACCAATTTCCGCTATTCCAGAAGTACCTAATACTGCCGTTGCTGGATCGACGGATAACACCCCTATTTCTGTGCGAATTTCGGCTGCTCTAGAGGTATCGAATACTGGAGAAACTGCACCTGCGGAAGGTCAGCAACCCGTTTTGCGACTGTCAACAAACATTCCATCAGCACAATATACTGGAGTTCCTGGATCTATCAAGATCCGCCTGTCGCCTCTGGATACTTCTAATGGAGACCATCCACATCAACTTCTATCTAAGCCAGGACAGGGTATCTTGATGATCTTGGCGGTAATTGCAGCTATTCTACTTTCCCCAGTTCTGCTGGTCATTACATTTATTTATCTAGTTTTAGGTGACCCTGGACATTCATATTTCTAATATTGAATATCATTGCCAGATCACTTATTGTGACAGTACATATTATCCAACAGGGCGATCTGATGCCAATCTTGTGCTTTCTAGCTTCGCGTTCTTGACGTGGCTGTCGATATCGTTTAGGAAACGTTTAGGAAGATGTGAAGATCAATGGAACTTGAAGCACCACAAATGCTAGCCAATATACTTCCTACCCGTGTTAGTCTTACGAAGCGTGAAGGATTAATGAATGAATTTGCCCCATAAATGACTTCTAGGGCTTGCTTGACGGACCCTCACTTAGGATTAATCGAACTAGCGTTATCCACTCGATATATAAACAATGCATAGGATCTCTGTTCTCATTATACTGCACCTCAACCGCCTATATCTTTTAGGCTCGGCGCTTCCATGCGAGGGTCACTTCCGGCTTCCCGTTGTACTTCTCCGAACTCTTAAGTTTCCATTTACTTCATGACGCTGCTCGAGAATCATCTCAAACGACCCCTAGTCTTTATCATCCTTTTATATTATGTGCTCTTCTAGTAGATAGTCTGCTACCGCTGGTATTCACTAGTTGAAGTTATACAGGTCAGCTCGTCGGTAAATTATTTTAGAGCTCCTCGAGTAGTAGCATATTCCTGAGCTAATTTTACCTAGACACTTTCCGCTCGAAGTTTCCTGAAGAATTAAAGTACTTACTGAAGCTTCTATTCCTTTTAGAAACAACGGAATGCAACCAGGGGCAAGTCCTTCCTAGTTAGAAAAAGCAAAGACAAAACGACACAACGGAAAGCACAAATTTTTTGGCCGCTACAAGGAAGGCCAATCAATTACTAAACCATCAGTCAGTGGGAAAGTTACCAGAGATTAGAAGAAAGAGTATAGTATTGCTGAGGTGGAAGGGGAAAAAAAGGAAAGAGACATACTGACAGCAAAGCCAGCGTCAAATCTCCATGGATTTTCGCTTTCAGCTGAATCTCAATGTCCAAATTCAGATCCAGCCGCAGCCGCAACTGTTCGTCTCGACCACCTTCGTCCTTCTCTTCCTTCTGGCTACCGCTCAGGGCGCCACTGCCCAGGACTCCACCGACAGCTTTACCCGCGGTGTCCGTGGCTCCACTCAGTGCGTTGCCAGCGGTGCTCTGCACCAGCTGGCCAGCCTGGTCGACACCACCCAATGAACCGAGGGGTCCTCCCTCCTGCTGGCCCTGCTGGCCCTGCTGCAGCTCAACCTGACGGGTGCGTCGCGTGCGCTGGCGTTGCTGGGGACGGTAATCCATGTCGCTGCGATAGATGGATTCGGTGTCTGATTCCTGGCGGTGGGGAGGGGGACGGGGTCGGCGGCGACGGCGGTTGATGCGCTGGTCTCCTGGTTCTTGTTCTTGTTGGGGTTCTTCTCGAGTTTGGTCTTGACCCTGGCCTTCGCCCTGCTGGGTAGTCTCGTTGCTGCCCTCGGGGTTTGGCTTAGACTCTTCCTGTTCGGGGTCCTGCTCGGAAGGTGGCGGGCTTCGCTCTTGCTGAGCGGGACTGTTCTTGCGTAGCTTCGGAGCACGCTTCGGCTTTGGGGTGGTGGCCTGGGAGTCCGGGTTTGGAGTTTGAGGTGTTTCCTGGTCAGCCATGATGGAAGGATAAAACCTAGAATGTTGGACGAGAAGGGAGAATATGACTTGGGGCAGAAGATCAGACTTGGTGTAGTCAAATATGATGATACTTGCTTCGCAGTCTGACCGTTTATATAAAACAAGTCACCATTTGCTGCGCCCATAGGGGGTTGCCTCCGACGTCAGGCAACACCGTGGTTTACAGGTCGGGCGTGATCTATTCCATGGGTCTGGAATATGCGTGAGGATGTATTCATACTTCAGTAGAACATTTACCCCGGTGGGGCTCCGGTCGGCAACCGTTGGATCGACAGCAGCAGACGATCCCTGTCAGAGGCCAATCAGCGCAGTGACTAGCAGAAATAAAGTAGATCAACTCGACGTATCCCATGATGACAATTCGAGGCAGTTGCTTTTCTGTTGATTTGAGCCACTGGCACTATCCCGGGGTTCCCTTGGAAAATAAGGAAACAAAACTTGTTTGGCCCCCTTCGTCACCACGCCACTGAACAGCCTGCCACCGCCTAGACTAGTCCTCCTTTGATTATACTCACTCTATGCCACTGAAAGACGCACTCACCGTGCATCATGGCCACCGCCGAAAAGACCCAAGATCAACAGAAGCAATTTCCCGTGCCGGACGAGGATGACTACTCGTCCGGCGAAGGGGAGTATGACAGTGGTGACGACCGCGGCGAGGAAGAAGCATCCCAGCAGCGGAATAAGCGCCGACGACGACGAGGGCCATCGCAAGAGGATGATGAAGAGGACTACTCAGATGAATACGACGACAATCCCTCCGATCAATATGACGATTATTCCGATTACGATGATGATAATGATGATGACGATGACTATGTGATGCAAGGCAAGGCGTTGCAGCCGTACCAGCAGAACAACATGGAAATGCAGAAGGCAAGCGGCAGTTTTAGCCCCGCGCCGCAACAGAAGAATAGCCCCGCCAAAAATGATGGCCTGAAGTTGAGGCTGGACCTGAATCTGGATATCGAGGTCGACCTCAAGGCTCGCATCAATGGCGATCTGACCCTGTCGCTCCTGTAAGTTTTGTCCCCCTCTTCCGTGTTCAGTCGCTCAGACAAGATTAGAAGTTAACTTTTCTCGTTGAATTGCGGTGCTTAATTTTTTTCTAACTGATGTCATCAATATATGTGTCTCATCTCGTGTATATCAGGACTTCGCTGTCCGAGGAATTACTTCGAGGCAAAGACCAAAGACTTGTTAAGGTTAATCTTCTATATCAAAAAGATATGTGAATCTTTAGATAAAGTGAATTAAGTCGCATCTGAAGTAGTAAGTTACAGCCAAAACGAGCACCTACGATGTCCCAAAATGGAAGTGCAAATCTCCAAGAAATACAATTCATCTATTGTTGTCTGATCCCTTAGAGGTTCAAGGTGACAGCCAACTTAAATGCACAAAATAAGATGTAAGCCACATCACGCTAGTAATTAAGGGGCCAATTTTGGTATGGTTATCCTGGGCTGCGCAAAATGGTCGTGAGGTGGTAGTGAAACTATTACTTGAAATGGAGGCGGATGTGGACGCGAAGGATTCTGAACATCACAACATCACACACCATCTTCCTGGACTGCCGATCATGGACGCGAGTGGGTGGTAAAGCTATTACTAGAGACAGGGATGGCGGATGTAAACTCGAGGGACAATTAGGAATGGACGCCATTGTCCTACGCCACTCGGGATGGACGGGAGGCGATAGTGAGGCTATTACTTGAGAGAGGCTAGGTGGACATGGTCCTGAAGAAACCTAGAGGCCACATATCATTATCCCTGGCTGCGAATTATGGATATGAGGCGGTACTAGATATATTACTTGGGGCCTGGCTGCGAATCATTTATTGAAGCAATTATTAAGACAGAGCAGGCGGATGTAGAAGGCTACTCTTTAGTGCATACGAGCATGATACGTTCCTAATTTTATGCCTTTATTTATTATTGTGTAGCCATATAACTAGGTGTACGAAGTGCTCTACATAGACAATTCTATTCTTTGTGGAGGGGTCCGTAGCAGTATCACACAAATTCAGGAGTTCTTCTGTAGTGCTTTCGCTCTGCCTGTAGTGATCTTACGGCCCGCTTGGAATTCGTGGGTCTCCGGCTTTTTTTGACTGTGGTATTTCATCTATGATCTCTAAATTTCAAGATTTCCGCCCTCCAGCCACACCTTTGCTTGCTTATACAAAAGATCATGCTTGTCACCTGACGGTGTCCCCTTATGGCGATTGTGACCGGGCATGTCCTTAATCACAGAAACGTCCATTGTCTTCTCTTGGCAATAAGCAAGGAACTTGTATCCTTCCGGGTATGATGCCAGCTTTGTATCGTCGATCTTGGGTATCTTGGAAGGATTCACTGGGATGATCTTGTCCTTCTCATACCAGTGACGAACAAAACGTGCACCCCATCGCCCATCAACCTTCTCAAAGAAGAAGCAAAAGCGACAGTCACACTCCACATCAACCTCAACCCCATCTATCACGAATCGTTGTGTAATAGTGGCCTTCATCTTGGTAACTGCTCGGTGACCATCTGGAGTGATGTCTGTAGTCGTCCCATGACAACGGTGCATGATAAAGGCACCCTTATCCATGCCAGCTTTAGATACCTCAAAGAAATCGGTGAATAACACCTTGCCCGACCATGTGGTGTAAAGATAGGCCCCCTCGTGAAATATGGATGCAAAGTTTTCCCACTCACAAGCATCGCTGCGAAGACCAAGTCAGTCGAGGGAACATTAATAGACAACTCCAAGTAATGCCGTTGTACACGGGACGATGGAAGAATTACCGGTAGCAAGGCCATCCCTCGGCCAGCTCTCGCAGCTTCATTCTCTCGAGCAACAAGTTGTCGGGACCATTGTTTCGGAAAGAGTGTTCCGGATACCAGCCTTCCGGAAGAGAATGGAGGTCAGGCATAATGGTAATATTGATGTTATTTGAAACAATGAATGCTCCCTAACCACAGTTACCCTCTCCAGCTTGGACCTACTTATATGTCAGACCCCAAGTTATTCTGTATCCCAACCTAACTTGCCGAGTGCGGGCCTGGTATTGCGGAAATGCCGTGCAAGGACGGAAGTCGGTAGTTCTAGGCTACTTTGGGGCCCGGAGGGTTCTAATAGATCCGTGACTTGGCCAGTATGTGCCAATCCCATCTAATTTGCTCATTTACTGGTCAAGAGAATAGCACATCGAAATTTCACGTGCATTGCTGATGCCGTTTCTCGGCTGATACTTTCCTCCTAGATCTAAATGGGCTTATTTACACCATTCTGTTAACAAAACACACACTAATAACCCCCGACCAAAGGAGTGGGCACATCGGAAATCCCGAAAGCCCCTACCCGTGCCCGCTCTTCCACGGGAGTTCCGGAACTTCTCAGCTGCTCCGGCTTCAATCTGTCGGGCCCCGCATCAGAATCCCTCACCCGATTATGTAGCTGAGACCAAACATAAGAGTAAACTTCACTACGGAACGCGTGGCAGAGTATTAGGCTAAATCCAAATCGGAGCAAATTGATGTTCGCGACGATTGACGCTCGGAGTGCAAGCTGGACTTCCTGTCAAAGTTTTACTCCAAATATACCAAGGACCCTGAGACCTTCACAGCACACCACGATATTGCAGGATGCATCCACGACATGGTTGCTGGTTCTGATACCACAGCCATTACATTTTGTCTGCCTGTTCGTACTATCTTCTCAGGTACCCCCAGACCTTTGCAAGACTCCGGGCTGAGGTGGATCAGGTGCGAGGAAACGTTGTTGTCTTCAAGGAAAGCCAAGAATGGCCCTACTTGCAGGCAGTCATGAAGGAAACACCTCGAATACATCCTGCAACCGGCCTTCCGCTGGAGAGGGTGGTACCGAAAGGCGGAGCGACTATCTGTAATCGTTTCCCTCCTCTTCTTTTTCCCTTGTGTTGTGCTCATACGTCCTTGCTGCAGACAATGACAGCTGGGTGGAACATCGCAACCCGCAAATATGGGGCGACGACGCGGACGAATTCAAGCCCGAGAGGTGGTTAATCGATAACAGCGAAAGTCTCGCTTATATGAATCGTCACTGGATGCCTCTACGTGCCTTATCCCTCTCACCTTAAGTTGTGGTCATTGAGGGCCCAAAATGCGTACAACTTTCTGATTCATGCAGTTTGGCGTGGCTTGTTGGCTGTGCCCCGGCAAGCACATCTCATTCCTTGGGATATCGAAGCTTATACCGTCTCTCGTTGGGGACTTGGATTCGAGCTCTATGGGAGACTTGCGCATTGTAATGTCATAATATTGTGATAGAGAGATAGCCTTATATGATTATTAGTGGTATTATCGAGTATTGGAATATATAATACTTGACAATGTATGGACGGGCTACTATGATATCGAAGTGCGAAAGTGTTTTATTGATGTGAAAGTTGGGCCAGGCAGATAGACCGTGTATTGTGCATAATAGACACTACTTTCCCACTTATACGCTCGGATTCCCCACGGGGAACTGCTGCATCGTTAATTACATAATGCGATGTTCTTTTTAATTGGAGTCCGCCGAACCGAGCAGCTAGCCTGAGCTGGCCCACGGACCTTCCCCGCATGCCTCAAGAACTACCTCCATGTCCGAAAACCTACCGACGAGTCTTGTGCCATTAAAAACATCCAAATATGGATAACACTTGTGAATCCCAAGGACCTGCTCTGAAGCGTCTCCGGGCCGCTAGGGCGTGCGAGATGTGCCGACTAAGGAAAAACAAATGCGATGAACTGAGCCCATGCACTCATTGCAAGAGTGCGTGTTAATCGCCCATGATAAGCAAGCTTTTATTGTAATTCTGGTATGCTGACATCGTATTACAGATCGAAAGACCGAATGCATCTATCGGGGAGTCAACACCACGAGAAGCAGCCGCGCCTGTCCTGAGTAAAGGCACTATCCAGCCTTGTATCATTGGAATCTGGCGCTAACCAAAAGAAAATCTTAGCTATGTTCGCCAACTCGAAGAACAGATCAAAGCTTTATCTTCTCCCCTAAGAAGCGCCGCACAACCAAACATCGCTAGCGAGGGAGGTGTGTTAGAAGGTGAACGATCTGGGTCCGGCTACATGCAAACACATTCAGACAATGGCCCCCTAGCTCCTTGTAGGGCTGCGCAGGAGGTAGTAGGTGTGAACCGCCACACGCACAGCTTTGAGTTCTATGGCAGCTCCAGTTCAATTGCGTTTCTGGCGCAGATACGAAGCACTGGCGACCCAGAAAAGGGGGTGCAACGTGAAGATGAAGAAGGGTTGGTCTCCAGCCTTCATAATCCAGCCTTCTCTCCAGGACCGACTGAGGCACTTGCATCAACGGCAGAGACTGGCACAAGTGCGCAATCTGTGTCCGTATCACATTGCCGCCTCTTTGTGGGCAACTTCTTCACCACGCTACATTATATCTACCCGATCCTGGATAAGCCCGCATTCCTAGCGATGTGTGAGCTACTATGGGCAGGTAACACCTCTTCGCTCAGTCAAAGCTTTGTCGCTCTCTATTACAGCATTCTATCTTTAGGCGCGCTCCTGAGACCCAGAGAGGAGGAGCCCATTGGCGGCATTGATGATGTGCGATGGAGCAGGAAGTTTTTCGAGGAGGCTCGAAGCCGCTCCAATGCCGGCATGGTGACAGACCTTGAAATGGTCCAATGCAACTTCTTTCTGGCATGCTAAACCACGCTGGTCTTTTGTTGCAACTCGTTTACTGACTAGCTAAGAGCAGGCTAAGGTATGCCAGAATGCACTCAACCTCCACTGTAAGGATCAGTAATCCAAAAATGGCTTCCATTGACTCTAACCTGGGGTATAGTGGCGTACATGCATATCGGGCTGGCCACAAGAATAGCACTTTCAATCGGTATCAACCGCGAGCCACCGCCGAATTGCAAGAAAGATCCTGCGCTGCTTAAGACAGAGTCCAGGACCTGGTGGTGCGTGAGCTAGACGCACGTGTCCGAAATTTTTGTTTGCTAACAATGTGAAAAGGTGCCTTTATTTTCTCGAGACGTAAGGGGTTTTTACCCAATTCCCACCATATTTTATGCTCACTATCGCATATAGCGAGATGGCCTTTTCTATAGGCAGACCGGATACCTTGGGAGCAGATATTTACCACAATCGTCACTATCCTATAGTCGCCGGAGATCCCCTGAGTGTGGGGACAGCACCTGGACTTCTTGAACCACCACAAAGTGCCATCATTAAATACATGGTGGATTTCTCAAGAATCACAAAAGCAATTTGCTTAAACATCTACATGTCGGACCTAACTCTTGAAAGAGCCATTGCAACAGGAGGCCAGATTGAACAAGATCTTGAGCGTTGGGTTGAAAGTCTGCCGCCCGCACTTCGCCCACTCAACGAGGTGGGTCAAAAAAGACCTTTAAAGGCCGCCATGGAACCTCAGTATGTCAAGAGACAAAGGCTAGCTACCACCATTCGTAGGCTCGCACACAACTGGAATTCCAATTCAGTGACTAACACACTCAGGATATCACAACCTGAGAATTCTCTTGTTTGGGCCCCTTTTGATGAAGTCTTCGATAACAGAGCGCACTTCTGCTATAAAATTACAGGAGAAAATCACAAAGTGTCTCAACTCGGCCAGTCTGACAATAGAGATTGTCTACGAGACTTTCCAGCACCATGACTTCTTCCGGACTTGGTATGTTTCGTCTCCTGCAGGCTACCGGTCCTCTTTCTTATCCGCGCTGTAATACTGACCGTCGCTCCTCTCTCACTATAGGTTTTATAACACGACCTATATAATCTTTGCGGCATCCATGATCTTGGTCTATATATTTCAAGCAGCGGAGGAGACCGAACTCAATGCGCTTTTCAGGCTGGTTGAGATGGCAATCGAAATCCTCGAAATCATGGAAGAGTCAGTCGTCGCGGCAAAAGCGGCGAAACTAATTCAAAGAGCTTTATCAAGGGCTCAACAGACGACTTCAAAGTTGGACAACGTGGAGGAAGCCATTGAAGACAGCAACTTCTCGCCTTTCAATCCAACCTGGAGTCAATTCAGCCTGACGGACGGTGATCCTGATTTTAGCTTACCTTTCCAGTTCAGGGACCTTGGAGCAGATTGTTTCTTCGGAGATCTCACTGAGTCCATGCCACCATGATCGATGCTATATGCCTCCGAAGATCTTAATTCTCTGTGGCTCCAGGTGCGATCGGGTATCTGATATATAACAACATCCCGAACAGCGATCATTTTCAGACTTCAGTATGTAAGCAGTGTCCTCTGTTCAAAATCGTCTTTTTGTCACTGTATTACCCATCTGAAAGGGTTCTATGTGCTAGTATTCGGATAAGTTTCAGATTGCCAACCTCCCACTATTTTTGTATTACGATTATCATTCCCGGAGAATGTATAAAGCACTCCTCCGTGCAGGCAGTATTCCAACCGCAACAACCTCCAGTATACTCATTTGGCTAGCTGAAAATCCAGCGTCCCTACTACACCACTTATGTCTCCTCCCTCAAGTTCATCCTGCACCTAAAATCTGTGTCCAAATGGAAGGTGATATCCGCAACCCATTTCACTGTTCCCCTGGTATCTACAATAGCCCCTAAGTTAAAAAATTATGGTTTGTAGTTACAAGTTGATCTTTGCACCCAGCTCGTCTTCAGTAGGATATTGCGGTGTTTAGGCCCCCGGCACCCATCCGGGAACCCTACGACCCGGAAGGCTTTCTCGTAAGCTGAGCGGGTAGTGGAGGACACGGATACCAATGTTGTTGCCTTGACTGCCGATACTGCCGCTAATTTGGTTAGTCTGTCTCAAGAAGCAGCGATATGTAGCACATAAAGTGGCCATTGTACATTCTGCTACTTGTTCTGGGATTTGTACAACAGCACAATGCCTAAGACTTTACATCTAGCCAAGCTATTGTATGCCACAAAACTTGAGAGAGTTTATCAGCGGAAATCCCGAATCTGACACTTTCCCCGCACGAACCTTAAACTAGGGACCTCAATCATTGGCATATAGTATCCGGAAGGTAATGGAATTATTAGATTTAAAACGGGGGGGCTCCCAATTGGGCATGTCTCCAATGCCGAATCCTGGAAAAAGAGACCAAACTTTTCGAAATCTTCACAATGGTAGAGAACGGGTTTCACAAGGAAGAAGAGACCGAGCATATCGAGGTCGCTCCCAAAGTCGTACTGGCAATAGTTGATGAGTCTGTTAGAGGGCCGGGCGATGGCCCTGTTTTGATACCTCAGCCAACACAAGATCCGAATGATCCCTTGGTAAGCTCCTCAAGCCCTTCGTCGTCATTACCCCTAGCTTCCTCTATTACGCTTCATGTCACGAAACAGAGGTAATGAATTAACGCACTTCTTTCTCTGCTGCAGAACTGGACGTCCTTCGAAAAATACCTGACCTGCCTGACTGTGTGCTTCTTTACTATCCTTTCAACCTTTAACTCCAGCAACCTCGTCGTCGCTCTAGTCCCAATAAGCAACGAGTTCCGTCAGACACAGACAAAAACAGGATATGTCGTCTGCTTTAATCTACTCCTCATGGGCGTTGGCAATCTTTTATGGGTTCCGCTATCGAGAGTTATCGGCAAACGGCCCGTCTACTTATTCGCCCTTCTCCTTCTGACGGGGTGTAATATTGGGACATATGAAGCATCTAGCTACGGGTCCCTTCTCGCTTCGCGTATTGTATCAGGACTTGCCGGCGCTGCAGCCGATTCGACGGTTCCGTCTTTAATCGCGGACCTCTTTTTCGTTCACGAACGAGGTCACTGTATGATGATCTTCCATTTTGCTCTGAGTACCGGCTTTTTCATCGGCCCACTCATCTGCGCCTATATTACCCAAGAAGTGGGCTGGCGCTGGACGTCCGGATTGCTGGCTATTGCTGGCGGTGCGACGTTTCTTGTTGGTATCTTCACCATCCGAGAATCGAATTATCAACGGGACACTGCCAATGTCGACTTGCCGGCCTCGGAGTATCCACCTAAGCGGAGCTTTCTGTCGTGGATGGCCCTATCGCACGGTTACAGACCGGATGTCTTGTTCTTCAAGGCTGTATGGAACACCATCTGCCTGGCAGCGTACCCGCCCATCATCTGGACTGGCTTTTTGGTTGGAACCTTTGTTGGATGGTACAGTATCCCTACTCTGCAGCCCGCGCCTTTTATTTCTTCCTTCTTTTCGACCACTTTACTCTCAGACTTACAGATTTCGTTTCTTAGGAACATTGTTGTCCAAATGACCGCAAGTCGCGTTTTCACCCAGCCACCATTCACTTGGAAGATCGGAAATCTCGGCTTGCTTGCTCTGGCGGGTTTTATCGGTGCTCTGGTCGCGTTTTTTCTCGGCGGCAAACTCATCGACCTCATTTCTACCCGCATGACAAAAGCAAACCGTGGAATCAGGAAGCCTGAATTTCGATTGCCCGCAATTATCTTGCCGGCCGTCATTGGGCCCATAGGCGTTTTGACCTTTGGTATCTGTACAGCGCGCCATCTCAGTTGGGTCGGGGCAGCCTTTGGCTATGCAATGCAAGGATTTGGACTGACGGCCGTCTCTAATGTCGTGGTCACGTACGCAGTGGACAGCTACCACCAGGTATGTTTTCTTGTGATCCATGAATGCATGCACCGAGTCTGGCTATATCCCTTTCTTCCTTTAATTTTCCTTGCCCTTGGCCCTCCCAGGCAAGACGGCATGTCAACTGACATGCTCCATACTATCTATAGGTTGCTGGCGAGGCTCTCGTCGTTGTATTTGTCATCCGGAATACCATTGCAACGCTTCTGGCACTGTATACTGTCAACTGGCAAGAAGCAACAGGCATTGAAAATGTATGGAGACCCACCCCAAACCCCAAACCTGCTATTGTGGAGTTAAAATACCTAACGCCATCGAACACTAGGCGTTCGGCCAAATGGTTGCGATGCAGTATTTCTTCCTTCTCTTTGCCATTCCAATGTTCTATTACGGGAAGCGCATCAGGGATTGGACGGCCAGCTATGGGCCACTGGTCGCTATCTTTGACCAGGAACGCAAGCTAACCCCGCAGCAGAGATACTTAGAAAAATAGCTAGTTCTACTGAAACGAGGCGTATGGAATCGAACTTTGCTGTTTTTAGTGCGTTTCCCAAATGATCAGTCGCTTTTTTAATAGGATATGAATGCATTCATTCATATTTTGTTTTTTTTTTTTTTTTTTTTTATCTCAATTTACTTCATAGTTATTGATCTCTTCATCTAATCATTTATCTACTTTCTTTTTTCTATTTCCATAATCCCTATTTTTGACCATGCATCTTCACCCCGTCCTCTTAATAAGGCCTGGCGCAAGCTATGCTGCGATAACATACCCGTCTTTTGCGAATAGCTCGTGGACCGTTGAAATCACTTTTATACGCCGACGCTTGGAACCAAAGCAACAATGACAATGCAGTCTCTTTCTTATTCGTAATAATATAGATTCCGCCACCCTATCTATCTTTTGTCTAACTAAATACAGCATGAACGAGATGCTTGTTTTCTTGTTCCCTTGCATTTTCCGTACGTTTGCGCTTCCACCGAATTCTATGCACTTCCCATTCCATGTCGACTGCAAAAACTACAGCCTTACTTCAATCATAGAACTTTTTTCTTGCCATCTTCACTGGGAGGAAAGAAAAACCAGGTCGAAGTGACCCTATAGACATACCATAACAAATGACGATAGAGTTCACGGTCTTCCACCGAGCAAACCGGACACTGTCCTTAAAGGCAGCTTGAGACCAACCTAGCTGGCAAGCAAGACGTAACTGGCACTGAAATGACCTCACACCTGGCCCAGAAGATTACCTGCTTCCAGAAACAAGGTAGGTGACAAGTTGTTATTAATCAACCTCATTAGGTGCCAGCAGAATATCTCAAAGTTTGGTTATTTTTGTCTGAAAAATGACACAATATCCCCGCATTCTAACTGCGGCAACATTTGCTACTAAGACGGACAAGAACCAAGTAACAACGTCCCTGGGTTGAAGACGGAACGATCCTCCTCCATCCAGACAAGTGCCGGCAATCCCGCTGTGGATCCGGAACGGAAATCCCGCCCCGAACCTGCCGTTGCTCCGTACTAGGTAACGTATACAAACCGAGGATATTTGTGTGAACATTCCTCATAAGTACTGGCCTCTTCTAGTTTCATTACCAAACAGTAAACATAGAATAATACTTTATGTATATTAAGGGATTGGCTGCTTTGAGTCCTCAGGAGCAAACGCTGAAGCACGCGAGCCAAGATGCTGCGAGAATTGGGCCAATCTTTCTCCTCCCATTATATTTTTATTTCGTTAGCTGCTTCTTTGATCCTCTATCTCGCCTTCCAAAGATATCAGAAAGGTCTCAATAAATATCCAGGCCCATTCATTGCTTCGTTGACGAACAGCTGGCGCCTCGTTGACGTGTGGAAGCGGGATGCTCACATTACCTTCCGCAAGCTTCACCACAGGTATGGGAACATTGTTCGGGTCGCACCGAATGTGCTGTCGTTTGGAGATCCTGCAGCTATCCCAGATATCTATGGCCTGAACAAGGGCTATACAAAGGTAGGCCTAACGGAAAGTTTGCGGGACAGATGCTGACTGGTTCGGCAGAGCGGTTACTATGATGTCTTCGCTACTGTGAACAAGGGCAACATTGTTTATAATCTGTATGTCAATGGGCTTTCTGCTGGCGCAACCCCACCAATTGTTAGATTCTTGTTCAACGTCATCTGTTCATTATTTCCATGCCTAACCCTCTATCAACGAAGATTTGAAAACCACTGGAAAGTGAGGAAAAGACGAGCCTGACTAACCCACGGGACCATCTCTAGCTTCTCTACCAGGTCCGAAGCCTATCATGCCCGACTTCGAAGATCTGTCAACCATGCATTTGCACTATCTACACTGCTAGATTACGAGCCACTTTTGGATAGCTGCACGTCTTTTTTTCTCCGACGCACACAGGAGCTCTTTGTGGGCACGGGACGGCTTTGTCCATTCTCCCAGTGGATCCAGTTCTTTGCCTTCGACGTCATTGGCGAAATTACATGGTCGAAGCGTCTCGGCTTCGTGGAAGAGAACCAGGACATCTCGAGGATCATTTCGACGGTCGACTCTTTCCAGAACTATGGCACGGTCATTGGTCAGAATCCCTGGCTAGATCGCCTCTTTGTGAAAAATCCCATCAAGCTATTCCTTGAATCCAAAGGACTGTGGCCATCGAGTCCAAACACAGCCATAGTCAATTTTGCGCTGGACCGGCAGCGCGAGCACGGCAAACGGATCCAGGATGACCTGCAAGAAAACACTCCCAAAAGAGGCGTGAACTTTCTTCAGCGGTTCCTTCAGTCTCAAGAAAAAAGCCCCGAGTTCCTTACCGACAATCGCATTACTGCGATGTGCGCATCGTTGATCATCGCTGGCTCCGATAGTACGGCCATCAGTCTGTCAAGCGTATTCCACTATCTGTTGCAAAACCCTCGTGTTCACAAGAAGCTGATGCTGGAGATTGACGCGGCTGATGCTGCTGGCAAACTTGCTTCCTCGAAGGACTCCACTGGCGCAGGCGATGTGGTGCCGTTTACTGCCGCCAATAAGCTACTCTATCTGGACGCTGTCATCAGTGAATCCTTCCGCATGCACCCTGCTGTTGGGTTGCTTCTGGAACGGGTTACTCCTGCTGAAGGCGCAACGATATGTGGAGAGCACATACCAGGTGGGACAGTCGTAGGATGCAATGCGTGGGTCTTGCACCAGAATAAGGAAGTATTTGGTCCAGACGCAGATGTATACCGGCCTGAGCGTTGGCTGGAAAGCGACGGTGCAGATCCCGTCCGACTCTCTAGGATGAGGCAAAGTATGTTCCAATTTGGCGCCGGGTCTAGAACTTGCGTTGGGAAAAACATCAGCCTCATGGAAACTTACAAAGTGATCCCCACTTTTCTGAGGAAATTCGAGGTGAGTATATCTTCCCGCAGGGTTGGTGCAACACGTGAAGTGGTTGGAAAGACTGAACATTGCAACCAAGCAGATTGAACTGGCCGAGCCGGAAGAGTCAATCTTTTTGAAAAATGCCTTCTTCGTGCACCGAAAGAACTTTAACGTCCATATCAGACCGAGGAACATGGAGAAAGAATAACTTTGGTTTCTTCCACGTCGCACCCTTGAAGAATCTTCCTCACAAAGGGATCGTCCAAATTCGACGAAAATTTAGAAGCCAGCAGGTGCTAGGGCAGGAAATCGTGCCGGAGTGGTAGGAATAGCTGAGATATGGAATGAGCGGGCCAGGATGATGTTGTTTGTATGAACTCGTGGTGACACAAAGCTTGCAAGACGAGGGTCGGTTTTGAATACCGGTTTACTTCCCTCGTCTTCTTTGCAACATACTTATTGTATACGGTACCTGCGTAGTTGAAAGTCATTTCTGTTGTTGAAAGGACCAACCATGTAAGCTTAAAGGCGTCATTCGATTTCAATATCGTCTCCATTGCCTGTGTAGTACTTTTTTACCCGCTCTACAACCATGAGCAGCTGGTTCATGGGGTCTCATATATAAGTGACATGACTTCCATGCCTTGCACACTCCGTCCCCATATTTGACTAGGTAGATGGATTTCATCTCATCGAAGGAAGCCAGCGATTCAACCAACCAATTGCGATCCTGCCAAAGCCGCAGAGATCATGAATCTTCTCAGACTTCTTGTGATCCACATAATTCTAACACGCCTCTTAAAGAAATCAAGAACTATGTATCTGAAGGGCCGCTCGAAACGGACATGGCCAAATTTATCACAGACTGAATCATGTTTTTCCAGTTCCCCACTCTCTTGCCAGAAATAGGTTGAAGTGGCCAAGAAGCAGGTAGCGATTAAAAGTGACAATGCTGCAGCTCCTGCCCCGCATCATGTCACTATTAGCGGTGGTGATGCATTAATAATTAGGAAATTCTTCACCGTAGGTAGTCTGACTTGACAGTGGGAGACGAAAGCTTAGCTATAATATAGCTCTATGAAGATCGTCAGTGTTCTTAAAGGGATGTACAGTCAACCTCCACAATTCTGAGAAAGAGTGTTTCCCAACGAAGAAGTTCTCTTTTATCTTTTTTTTTTTTTTTTTTTTTTTGGCACATCCGGTGGGGAATGAATTAGGTACAACGATATGGACGAAGGAGGAATTGCATCTGCGAGTGCCAACCTGATCATATGCGAGCAACTAGCCGGAGGTTCGCTTATTTCTTCCTGGAGAAGCTCATTCCTGGAACCGATAAATTAGCGGTTTGGGACGTGGTTAAAAGGTGGCCAAATTTCATCATTCGAGTTATGGTGGTATGGACGGGCCTCTGGGCAGCATGGATCAAACCGCCATTTCACCACCTCAGACATAGGGATAGTTAATTTGACCACCTTGTAAACATTATCTCAAGACGTTATTTCAACAGCTCAGAATTTATCAGCGCGGTTTGAATACATCCCCTAACAAATGATTGGGCGTATCAACTCCCCCGTCTTTCGAAAAAATGTGTTGGTGGGTAAGAAGCTTTAAATGAAGGGGAAAGAAACTCAACAGCTTGCCCTTTAACAATTTGTAGCATGCATTCAGCATTCAAATTCGAGTGCAATCGTACTACTCTTTCCCGAAACTTTTATTTCCAAACATTCTCACCTATCGCTTTTCACTTCCGAAGTCTGGACCTTTTCTTGGGGTGGTTTGTCCTCAGTCTGAGACTGTCCTTGCGGCAACCAGAATCGTGCAAGCATGCCGCCCATATACCTTTGGTCGATGAACTTGATGAACCCATAGGTTATCCATTCCCAGCCCCAGAGGGAGACACCCATCATACTCGCTATCAACAGGATCGGGCCACCGATGAGCAATGACAAAATGAACCATAGGAGAAGAGCGACAGCTGCGACGGGAAATACCACAGCCATTAAAACCAGCAATGGCACTCCGCAGCAGATGAGTTGGCTGACAATGAATGTCGAAGCGATAGGACGCTTCAGCGCAGCCTCGTATATTTCGATTTGTTGGGGCGGTGGCAGGAGCCATTGGACGAATTTCCTGACGCTATCTTCAAACCAGTCCATGGCACGAGGAAATGAACCCGTAATCCAGCCCTTAAATAAATAAAACAGAGTCGAATAGGTGATTTCGTTATCAGTGGGCTCTTTTCGAGAGGAATCTTCCGAAGGGAATTCACCAGGCATCACAGGTTCGGTGAGCTGGTCCGCTGTCTGGTGGAGTGGTTCCGTTTGACCTGCGACGGTCGATTGAATATTGTTGACGGATGGTGTGTTCTGGCTGTCGGCCGGGAGGGCGCTGCCGACACCCTTGATGCCGCTTTGAGCAGCATTCAGGGACATGACGAAGGACCCAGAGGTTAAATTATCTGCGGGCGTCGAAATACCTAAGGAGAAAGACCCTGAAATTGGAAATCCCCACTGATTAACAAACTGAGTTGACACGCGCAAAAGCTGCCCAAAACGATCATTCTTCGAAGTAACTACGGTGTACTTATAGGTATGATGGGCCGATGACGTAGGGGTGCGTCCCAACGAAATAAATCAGGTTAATTTTCTTAGACACAGAGTTCCATGAATACATCCTTTTGTGTGAATGTATTTTGGCACCTAGAAGGAAATGTACTTTCTATCTGCATGCATTGTCGATCCTGCGCTCGTTGCAGGACGTTAGCCCGAAAGAAGACGACACTATCAGGCTTGTTAGGAAATGGGTAAATACTGTCGAAAATCTGGCTCTGGTCACGAATAGGCTCTTCACCCGTGATTCTGTTAAATTAAATAGAAAATCTCTGTTCGCTTTCTCTGCGATTTCCTAGGGTTCGGCTAACTAGGTCCAATCCGTTAGTTACTTATCTCAAAGAGACCAGTGGGGCAGAGCGGGCCAGCTCGGCCCGTCGCATTAGTCTCCGGCCTTCTGTTGTGCGATAATGAAGAGGGTCAATATGTGATCCGGGCTGGGCGCTTTCTTATACCAGGCTAGCGCCTGCCTGTATATTTGCTCCTCAGCAGCAAGCCTTGGAGTAAGCGTGAAATTCTCGAAACTCTGTCGAGTGGACCAAGGGAAGAAGCAGATAGTTCCTTTTTGAGGAAAATAATGCTGCACAAGCCTTGTTGCATGACAGGCCGGGCGAACCTAGTTACCCATATCGACCCAGAGAAGGGCCGGGGAGGGGGGGGGGGGGGGGGGGTTTCTCACTTGGTCATATTTCAGTTCGCGCATGTCAAGTCCATCACTACTTAGAGAAGCTGTTGATATCTGTCAGATTTCAACACTGTGCGAAACAAAGTTGGGTCGTAGCAGTCCCATCGAGTCTGGAAATATGCTTGGGTCATTCAAACGATCTATCCTTATCCGTGAATGTCTCTGGAATAGATCCTGTTACCCAACCAATACAGCTTTTCTCACTCTTGCGCACTGATATGGTTTATTGACATTCCTTTCACTTTACATTGCGATAGTCTGCGAATTACAAAGCGGTTCGCAGGATTTAGCTTATCAGCTGCTACTCTCATCTCAGCCTTCCGCCGCCAACCTGCAATAACCTACTATAGATTCCGCGCTGTGGCATTTTCGATTTCGGCAGGGCCTGTACCTGTGATCCACTTTCAACGACAAGCGAAATCTCCCCGTTGTCACTCCTCACAAGTGGATGTCATCAGGAAAGGTCATGATGCGTTTCTGTTCATTTCGACTAGCACGATTCAGGGCATTCAGGAACTTTTAGGTTCCCGTGAAGAGTAGAGAATCACCGAGGCATCAAGTTATCCGGTGAAAATTCGCTGATGAAGCTCGGCCATGCAGACGCGTTAATTGCCCGTCTACCCTACCCGTTATACGACTATGTCAATCCCCAAGGACCGGTGGAAATCGATACGTAGGTAATTGTAATTGCTCTTGGCTAAGCTGTGGTTGAAAATCATCATATTCTGTTTTCATTCCTAGGCATATTTTACAGAAAACGTCCCACTACCACAAGAAGAGGAGACTAAGTATGTCCGAGTTTCCTTTAGTGCTTGGCAGCTTCTAAAGTGATCATCAGTATCCCATTCATGCCTTTGTCAAATGAGGGCGTCTTACCCTTGTGAACATCAGCCTTGGTGTCGTGGGCCTTCTCGTCCTTCTTGTCGATAATAGCATCCTTTGCAGCACTAGCTCGGGTGCTCACGTTGGCCCCGGAATCCTTAGCGACATTCTTGTTCGCTTCCTTGGAGGCCTCAGCACCACCGCCCTGAATGGACTCCGAGACGTAGTTGGCAGCGTTCTAGTATGGCGCTGCGTTAGTCAAGTCGATGCGAGGAACACCATCTCATGAGGATATAATCCGCGCACCTTGATAGTCTCCATAGTGATATAGTTTGGTTGTTAAGAAGATGTGAGATATATGGTTTGTTGCGTTTCTGTAAGTGAAAGAAGTATTCCACGGAGGGCAGGGAGGGCTATTTATCCTTTTCCGGGGATGTGGCTCAGCCTCTGGAGTTCAACGATGTCATCGTTCCAAAACCCAGTCGATCCAGCACCACCTGATTTTCAACGTCATAATGTGATTAGTCATGCCTGAAAAGCAAGATTCTTTGGCTCCGGCTTGGCCAACGCAATCAGGATAATGCGTGTCAAGGAGAAGAATCACGCCTTGGACTCCACAAGGTGGAGGATTGATTTGGCTGGGCCTTGTTTTCGGCGGACAAGTGGACAGAACATGGCTACCGTGAGCCTAGCTTGGCGCCGTTGTCGACGCCCAACTTACCGCCAGCTAGCGCTGTGGTGGAAGAAAGATTGTATGACACAAGCACCTACTTCTCCTTCTTCTTAGCTTGAATCTCCTAGTAGCCAGCACCGGTTAGCTATCTAGTTTCGTCCTGGTTGAACCTTTGTTGTATCTCTTTTTGCTTATTTTTGTTCTTCTCTTCTGGGAAGTCTTGATCTTCACCAGTCTACCAGTCTGATCCATCCAAGAATATGCATACCTCTAGCATCATCCCAGCCCATACTCATCAGCTCATCGATCCTCCCCCGCATTCCGGATTTTCCCGAAGACAAAAGTATCCGCCATTCGTGGTGGGGTGCTGGCCAGATTCAACGCTCCGCTCCAGGTCGCCCAAATCTTCCATTTCTTTTATTTGTCACAAACAGAGGTACTATTAAGCCGCGATTACACGGATAGGGAATCTAGCAATAATGTATACTCCATGTACGGTACCTTGGTAAACACACAGGGGGTATACTTAGTCAGTGAACCGGGAATGCTGCAAACGGCAGACTAGGCGGGGGGTCTTATCTGCCCCTCTAACGTGACTTGTACACATCTCTACATAATTACAATATGGGCGACACAGACTGGGAACTGCAGCAGGGTGTCCCCCAGGTGGAAGACCCCTTCATCCAGCAATACCTGCGAGGGCGCGATGCCTTGATCGCCGAGGAGCAGAAGCGCCGCCATGGTAGGTCCGACCTATGTAGGGTTGAAGCAGACGATGGTGACTGACGGACTCGCCAGACTTCAACCTGCGCAAGTCGCTCTCGCCCATCGCCGCCAGGGCGTGCAAGATTGTCTCGCACATCCGCGACCAGGAGCGCCGCCAGGTCTGGTCAAGAGGCCTAGACCCCGCGGCCGCCCATGAGTCCGACGAGATTCTCTACCCGGGCGTCATGTTCAACCTGGCCAAAGGCCGCATGGAGCAGACCAGACTCTGGCAGATTGTTCAGCATATGCCCAAGGGCTCGCTCCTGCACGCCCACATGGACGCCATGTTTGATATCGACTTTCTGATCGATCAGGCCTTGTCAACGCCTGGTATCTACATGTCGGCGGCGAAGCCGTTGATTACGCCCAAGGACTACGAGTCGGCCCCGATCACCTTCCAGTTCTCATCCCAAAAGCCAGCAGAGGACCAGCCCAGTGTGTGGTCCGAGGTATACCAGCCCTCCTCATTCATCCCTATCGCCAAAGCGGCGGCATCCTTCCCCAAGGGCCAAGAGGCCGGATTCCGCGACTGGCTGAAGAGCCGCTGCGTGCTCATGCCCGAGCACTCCTACCACCATCACCACGGCGTCGACGCCATCTGGTCCATCTTTGAGAAGACCTTCCCCGTGGTCAACTCCTTGGTGAACTACGAGCCCATTTTCAGGGCGTGTCTCCGCCGCATGTTGGCGCAACTCGCGGCAGACGGGGTGCGGTACGTCGAGTTTCGCATCGCGTTTCTCTTCCAATATCGCAAGGAAGGCCACGAGACGCCCGAGACAGACTATGGAGAGTTCTGTCGCGTGGTCGAAGAGGAAGTGGCCCGGTTCAAAACCACGGAAGAAGGAAAGAACTTTTATGAGGCGCGCATCATCTGGACGACCATCCGGCGGTTCTCCAACAAGGAGATTATCGAGAGCATGAAGGAGTGCATCGCCATCAAACAGGCGTTTCCGGACCTAATCTGTGGATTCGATCTCGTTGGGCAGGAAGACCAAGGCCGGCCGCTGGTGGATCTCGTCCCGGTGCTGTTTTGGTTCCGGAAACAATGTGCCGAGGAAGAAGTCGACCTCCCGTTCTTTTTCCACGCCGGCGAATGTTTGGGAGACGGCGATGCGACCGATCACAATCTGTTCGATGCCATCCTCCTCGGGACCCGGCGCATTGGTCACGGATTCTCACTGTTCAAACACCCGCTGCTCATCGAGCTTGTCAAGGAAAAGAAGATCCTCGTGGAATGTTGTCCGATCTCCAACGAAGTCCTCCGTCTCACCAGCTCCATCAAGAGCCATCCGCTCCCGGCACTGCTCTCCCGCGGCGTGCCCGTCTCCCTCTGCAACGACGACCCAGCGATCCTGGGACACGGCCGCAACGGACTGACGCATGATTTCTGGCAAGCCCTCCAAGGTCTAGATAATGTGGACGTGGTGGGCCTGGCAATGATGGTCCAGAATTCGATCCGCTGGAGCTGTTATGAAGACCAGTCGACGGCGGAGTGGAAGAAGGAGGTGCACGAGGGCATTCTGGGTGAGGGGATCAAGGCGGCGCGGTTGCGGGAGTGGTGCTCGGACTTTGAGAAGTTCTGCGAGTGGGTGGTGCTGGAGTTTGCCGAATTTGACGAGGATGAATAGTTGAAATCAGTAACTAGGGTAGTTACGGAAGAGAAAGAGCAAGTCGGATCACAATGTTTGTTGTGTGCTGATAGATGATTAATATAGTCAGTCGCCCCGTAGTTATCGTTATCAGCTGCGGAACGTCATTCACCTCCTTCCCTTATGTATGTCTCTCTTCTCCCCAACTGACGCTCTCTCGTTCTCTTCGTGTTCCCTCGTTATCCGCTCGATGATGCCCTTGATGATCCCTGTATGATCGAGCCTCCCCTGGCTCCCCACCTCCTTCAACATGGCCTACTTCTTGCCATCCTTCTTCCAGAAGCGGCTGCTCAAGTATGCCCTGTCGCGTCTGGGTCTGGTAGACACCGACGCCCTTGACCCGGACAACCTGGGAATCCGCTGGGGCCAGCGGAGCACCGTCGAGCTGCGCGATATCGGCCTGAAACTGGAGGTGAGTCTGTGCTGCGGGCGTGGCGGGGTGATGGTGATGATCATCCCCACTGTCTACACAAAGCTGATTCCAAACAGAAACTGGCAACCCTCCTCCACCTCCCGTCATCATGCGAGTTACTTGCTGCTCGCGTGCAGTTCCTGCGGATCACGGTCCCCGCCGATATATACTCCAGTGGGATCATTTGCGAGGCCAGCGGGATCGATGTACATGCGCGCTTGGTACCTGAGGAGCCGTCCCACGGAGATCAGAGGAACCAACAAGGACTAGGAATCCATGAGACAGGCACGGAACAGGTTCTCCCCACACCGTCTGGGTTGGCCGAGTCGTTCCTGGAGGCCGAGCCCAAGGAAGAGAAGGAGGAGCTCCAAGCCGCCATCTCATCGCGGTCGCAGGTATTACAGCGCACATCGTCGTCGCTCAGCACCGATGAGGACGAGGAGCTCGGACTTGGCAACGAGACGCTATCACTCCCCAGCTTTGTGGCGGCGTTTCTCAAGGGTGTTGCGGATCGGTTGCAGCTGAAAATCAAAGATGTCGCTGTGCGCCTGGATATGGAGATGAAGTCCGACGGGCCTTCGAAACGACAGGCGGAGGAGAAGCCGGATCTTGTGTCGGGATTGCTGAGTGTCAAGGAGGTCGATGTGCATGCGGTGTCCGCATTCACTGCGGGCCCGGACGAGGCGCTCCCTCTACGGGAAGGCAAGCGGCTAGTTTCTCTGCTGGATATCAATGTCGGCTTGATATCTGATCCGACGGTGTTTTCGAACTATTCACGCTTTGCGGCTCCAGCTTCTCCGACGACCACCATGCGCTCGAAAGGCAGCCAGCCGTCGAGCAGGGCTCCCCTCGCCACCATTTTCTGATTCTTCCGCCTCAGAGGCTGCTCTTGCTATGACGCAGTCAACAATCCTTGAACCTCCTCAAAATTTTGGTATTGGCAGCGCGACACAACCCAGTGTAGAGGCGTCTACATTCTCTAATGACGGCCGATTTTCGGACGCAGACTCGGATTCTGAACGAGGTAGATATCCTGAGGATTCTCAAATCTTTGGCGATGATGATCCGTTTCGGGATAATCCTGGGTATTTGGATTCGGTGATTGATACCCATTTTGATGATCTTGACGTTGATGGGTCGGGCGGGAGCGGGAGATATTCTCAGGGTCTCCCATCACATACCCGCCGAGATCTTGAAGACAGTGAAACTACGGGCGATGGAATCTATGGATCACGTATGAGCGACACACAGAGCAGTGGTCGTACTGGAACTGGAACTACCGCATTTGGACAGGCTTCTCACGTCATGAACGATGATTTTCAGCCAAGCATACCGCAACACGAATCTCGCTCTTCGGTTCCCTCTGAACATGGCAGCGCAGACTCCGCACTAGAAACGCCAAATGCAGATCTATCCGAGTCCAAATTTTTCTCACACGATGAAGCTCAGAGTATATACATGAGCGCTATTAGCGGAGGTCCTGGTGGTTTTATGCCGAAGACCCCTGGAGGATGGGGCTCTTTTAATGACGGCAATGTGGAAAGTACTTCTCAAGATGCTGAGAAAACCGCCCACAGTGATCACTGTGAAGAAGCTGAGCCCGCCCACCAGGACGAAGGCACCCCTTCAACCCCTAAACCCGCAGCTCCGTCCAACTCGTACTTCAACGAGCACCAGAATTCAAATGACCTGCAGGCCCAGTCTCAATCTGCTTCTCCCGGTAGAGCTTCGATTGGCTCGTCACCCTCCTTTGGAAAACTCAGTGAAATAAGAAAACAAATTTTGAGTATTGACAAGGTATTGGTGTGGCTGCCGTCCCCTC